TAGAAATTAAGTAAGAAATTAAGTATTGTCAATGATATATGAAATAAATCATATATGAACTGTGGAAATGAAATGAAAATGAAGAAATGATCGTCGCAGTGAACGCAATTTATGCAATTTCGTAAAGAACCCTGAAAAAAATTCAGGACTTCAACGGGGTTTGAACCCGTGACCTCGCGATACCGGTGCGATGCTCTACCAACTGAGCTATGAAGCCACTGACGTTGGGAGCAGTTCAATTGTGGTTTCATATGTTCCCGTGAAAGAAATGAGGCTTCTTTACGCAATTGCATAAATTGCGTTCACTGCGACGATAATTTCTTCATTTTCATTTCATTTCCGCTCTTCATATATGATTTATTTCATATATCATTAACACTCATTTCTTTCACGGGAACATATGAACTCACAATTGACCTGCTCCCAACGTCAGTGGCTTCATAGCTCAGTTGGTAGAGCATCGCACCGGTATCGCGAGGTCACGGGTTCAAACCCCGTTGAAGTCCTGAATTTTTTTCAGGCTTCTTTACGCAATTGCATAAATTGCGTTCACTGCAACGATCATTTGTTCATTTTCAAAGTAAGTATTCTTTCAAAAGTCAACATTGACGTGAAATGTTTATAATCGAAAAGAGAACGAGCAATTAGTTTTGCCTGTTAAATAACACTGTTGGCTTTTCTATGATTATTACCTAGCGAACACAAAGCAAATGAAAGGAAGGACAATAAAATGGCACGAGCCTTTTTGCGGAGTTAAAACCTCTTTATGCAAACTCAGTATGAATCACTAAAACATCGTCAAAGTGGATATTTGAAAGCTATATATGAAATTCGGGGCAAATAAAGAATTCATGGAAAATCTCTCCTTACAAAGTTTATGGTTTGATTTAAATTATAAATCTAATAACTGGAGCTACGCTTTTAGCCCTGGCTAAATCTATATATTATTCAAATGCCATTTTACGCCCTATAAATAATAAATTATTACTGTTATTATTATTATTATTATTATTATTATTATTAAAACCAATCTTTTCTGATCTCAAAAATTACTTCCAGCAAAACACAAAAAAATCACCAATCCGCAAAAATAAAGTTTTTCGTGCCACACGGTAACAATTGCAGTTTTCCAAAGAGTATAACTGCCCTTGGTTTGTTTAATGTAATCACTGGTATTACTTATAACTAATGGTTTCTATCTTGCACGGTGTCCATTAGGGAAGGGACCGTGAACCCATCCCATGTATAGATAAAATATTGAATCTTTAGATTATTCCATATTAAATGATACACCAAAGTTATTTTGAAGTCGCAAAGCTGTGCTCTAAGGAAAGTTGAAGGGAGTCCAGGTTGCCACCGCCAGCATATGATTTTTACAAAAAAAATTGACATTTTATAGTTGCCCAGGAGCAAAAGCTAAGTGCCACGTCGAGCCATGGGGCACAGGGTGCTGCTATAAAGCTGAAGTAATGTGCAAGGGTCATAAAATCTGTCACATACATGTATTACCAGTCAAATTAAGCTGAATTAAGTTGATGTTACATATACGTCATACTGAGTGGAAGCTGAAGGTTTTCTAAAAGTTTATTTGCCGTCGGGTTCCCGTACAAAAAAGGTATGAGACAAAAATTATCTTCAATCACCTCGTCGATCAGTAATAAAAGCAAAAATCAACGTTATACATTGTAAATAAACTTAACAATGAGATTGGGGACATTCACACTGCAGGCTGTTATTAAGCTTACCTTCTCCCGCTAGCCCTTCCCCTTCAAGCGAAGATTTCTCTCAAAATCAAGATCTGTTGATTGCCCCTTCTTCTATATACTAGCTAAAGATCCAAGTTTAATTTTCCGCCGATGGTTTGTGTCGAGAGCCCCGGTAAAAGCAGTGTTTATGGCAACCGAGAGAGAAAACAACTAAACTGTCAGCTGTGTGAACAAACCTGTTCCAACGCATCTCTCAATTCGTTCGATTGAAGCAGTTACTGTATACATACAAAGCATAATGTGGTGAGAGTCAAAAGAGTTTTCCTAAACAAGAACCCATGGAAGTGGAAAAGAAAGCGAACATTGTTTGAAAAGAGTTAGTCATGCTAAGAAAATGACATCACAAAGCAATTGTCTGGTATTCTTGGTAACCGGAACGCAGGAACACAGGGTTTTAATGGGGGACGAAAATTGACGGTTTTTCAGCGCCAAAAAATGCCACTTTCCTTAATCGTATGACGCTATGATTTTCACACCATATAGTTTAAGTAGTTAACTGTGAATTTAGCGAAAAAATGGTATTCAAGGACTTGGTCATAGTTCCACTTAAATGCATTTTGGGGTAGTAAATAGGACTACGCCAAGTATTATGTTAATATTTAAACGTTTGATGTGCCTCATTCTGTCTTAATGCAGGTTCTGTTGTGGTTATTCCTTGCTAACATAGTAAAGAAGATCAACGCTCAAAGTGAGTAAAATAAAAAGCGATATAACATCTACATGTAAACAACTTGAGTGCCTTGTTTCCCATTAAGGTTATGTCTAACAGCGAGTAAAGTGGTGCCTGCAATGAATTAGTTTGGGGTAGATTGACCATGTGCTTTCGATTGCGGCGGCTATGTCAACTGTTTCATAGAAAGTTTGAGCCTGACAACCACCAGCGGTGTACAGGTGAATATCTCAGATTTGTTGCTATAAGTGCAAAAAACAACTCTGCTGATGATGAAGAGCTGAGAGAAGCGAGGAAGGCTATGATTGCAACGGGGCAGTTTGAAAAGTGTAGGCAGTATATAACCGTGGTGGGGGAAATGTGTGTCATTGGTCAACTCGTGTTTATAAGTACACGCATTGTTATTCCTAGTAAGCTGTGGCCAAGGACCTTAGCTCTTGCTCATAAAAACCGCTTGGGTGTGGTTGGCACCAAACAGAACCTCAGGACCAAGGTGTGGTGGCCAGGGATGGATAAAGCGGTTGGGAGACATTTCAGGGCTTGCCATGGGTGTCAGCTGGTAGCAAGGCCGTGCAAACCGCCTGAAACTATCCGATCCACATCATTACCAGACGGACCCTGCAAGACTTAGCAGTTGATTTAATGGGATCACTTAACCATCCGGACATTCACTATTAGTAATTGTTGACTACTACAGCCGGTTTTACGAAGTTGAGGTCATGCAGTCCACTACTACTGAAAAGATCATAGACTGCCTGGCTGATGGCTTCTGCATACATGAGTTGCCGAATACTATCAAGTCAGACAATGGTCCACAATTTAAGTCGAATGAATTTAGAGAATATTGTGAACAGCATAGTATATTACGTCAGAAGGTTACTACCAACGGAGAGGTTGAGAGACAAAATCGTTCACTATTGAAACGACTACAGATTGCTCATGCAGCAAACATACCTTGGGGAGCAGAATTAAGGAAAAATCTCACTGCCTGCAGAAGCATTCCCATAGTACGACGGGAAGGAGTCCCGCTGACCTTTTGTTTAACCAGAAAGTCAAGGGGAAGATCCCTGATTTAAACGTTGACCATGCTTACGACCTTGAAGTACATGATGGTGATACCGAACAGAAAGCTAAACGTAAAGTCTTATGCACGCGGCATATAGCGCATGGCCAGTCCCTCCAGCATCGAACTGGGTGATGAAGTCCTGGTCCAACAAGACAAGACTAACAAACTCAGCACTGCATTCAACCCCTTTAAGGTCATCAGCAAGACTGGAAACATGCTTGTAGTAGAGAGTCCAACACTGAGGGAACCAATACTCCAGGAACACAAGTCATGTGAAGCAATTTATTAGAGAGGAAGGTCCCACACCCCAATAACGGTCAGTCTCTGTGTCAACACCTCCCACCCCTCAGCAGGAATTACACTCTGTGCCACACACTACGAACCAAGCACGCAAAAATCCACTGCCGAGCTGCGGGATAGAGCAGAATGCCTTGTTCTGCAGGAGAATGGTGGAGCAGCACCAGCGGCCATCAAAGACTTCGCGACCCCAGAGGACAAGGAGATTACCAGAGAGGGGCTATGTTGTTTAAAATTTTCTTCGGGGAACATGAACACTGATTCTCTTTTCAGAACTAGGGACAGTTTGAAAAGCGCCTCTTTGCTTATTTTAGAAGCATTAAGAGACTTCATCGTTAGTACAGTTGACTTTAAAATTGTTAGTGAAAATTTCCTATTTCATGTAGAGGAGCATTATTCTGGGGAAAGCAGAGATTTAATGTATTAGGCCGATAAGTATGCTGGGATAGATTGACGATTTGCTTTTGATAAGGGCGGCCATGTTTGGTTGCAACGAAATCGGTTAAGTCTGTTTGTTTGGATACTTATTGCTCTTGGGATCACTACAGTGCCAGGAATCATTCTGTAAGTATAATGATCATAATTACCCCATCACTACCACCACCACCATTGTCATCACCATCATCGTCATCGTCGTCGTCTTCGTCGTCTTCGTCCGGCGTCGTCGTTATCATCCTCATCCTCATCATATTTGCTACATTATAAACAAATTAAATTCATTTATTATTAATTATTTATCATTTATTCATTGTCTATTTATTCGCTTTGCAATACTTGAAGTTAATTGTTAGAATTAAAGTAAATGGTAAGCATTTAACAGGACCTTTGCCTGTAGGCTCGGCTTACTCCACAGTTAGTTATATCATATAATATACAAAGCTCCTAACACAGTATAAGGTACCGTTCATTCAGAACAAACTAATGTTATTTCACTCTTGAAGGTTTCTACGAAAATATCATATTGAACGTTTATCAATCACCGCGTGTTGAACGTTGATTTTCAATGAAAACAAACCGAATCTGATTTGTTCTCTCTTTCAATACTCTAAAGCTCTGACGTCATGATCATACAGAAGCCTCTAATTTTGTTGTCTCAGACCGAGGCTACCCATAAAGCTAACAGTACATTTTCAGTTGCTATTCATAATAATTGTCATTTGTTATACAGACTTTCCTATTACAAGTTTTTTTTTACCATTAAGGCTCTACATGCGGCCAACCTACTCCCCCTTATGGTTCAACAATCATCCACGCACTACAGCAAAATCAACATAACAGTGGAAGCGTGGTACTGTTTGGTTGCAAAGAAGGTTTCTATCTCGTCGGAATGCCTATAATAAGATGCACCGGAAGTACTTGGACAACAATAAAGTTCCGCTGTTTAGGTGAGTCTTACGATTTTTTATATTCAGTTAAATCAGGCTTCATTTGTCGGTAGAAGAATGTCTGGCTGTTGCTTTTTTTATGCATATGCAATTCACTTGTCTAAATTTAGACCAGTCTTGGTCACGGTTGTCATTTGTAGGCGGGATCAGCGCCAGCTAGCCCGTACACACTAGAAGTTGCATCATATTAACATGTAGTCACGTGATTTCTCGTTTAATTTGGGATAAATGAGCACTCATAAAGTTTTCAAAGACTACATATTTAGTTAGTCTGAAATTACTTGTGCCCATTTATCCCAAATTACACTCGAAACCATGTAATTACTAATATATAATTTCAAACCTGAAATTTTAAAATTACTATGGAAACGTTGTGTTATCCCTCAATGCCAGACCAAGGAGCTTTGCCCGTTTCAACCCAAGGTGTTCAGGTTTTTATTGAAATATGCATTACATAATCGCCACTGCATGCAACCACTTTTTAACGAGGTGTAAGTATAACTGAAGTTCATAGGTCACCTAGCAATAGCGAACAAACTGTAGTTTTTTTTATTCAGTTGTCTGATGTGAAAAGTCAATTTAACTGACGGTCATTTGTTACAGGTCTAACAAATTGCAATGGATCAGTTTATTACGATTTGGGACATGTGAAACAAAGTATGATGATTATATGGCGCACCGCGTACGAAATAAACCTTTGAAATCATATTTATTTGGTGTATATTTTCGTGTTACCAGGGTTTTGTCCAGAGATTAGAAACATTTTAAATGGTCAAGTGGTTCACGTCACTCCAAAAGTTGGCCAGGCTGCTATGCGGTTTCACTGCAATAAAACTCATCGTCTCATTGGAAAGCCTCGACTGGAATGCATCAATGGCAGATGGAATGGAACATTACCCTTTTGCCAAAGTGAGTTAGAAATAGGGGAACGCAAAGTATATTACTAAAGCCAACTCCCAAATCGTTTCCACGCAAAGAAATTAATGAAATTTACTTTGCGTTTCTTATCATGTTGGTAAAAATACATCTATAGTGGATGTAGGACCATATTCTGCAGATAACACTGATAGCCGTTTGGGTTGAAGAAAATTGAGGAACATACAACCTCTCTGTTTGCAAAATTGAATTTAGTTAAATTAGATTTACATATTAAGTAATTGAACTCCTTTCATGCACAGTATTGCTTTGTTTCCCTTTTAAATTACTTCTATCTCTATTTTCTACTTTTTTTAACTTCAACCTTTTTTTACGCACTTGCCAACAGGTTGCTATATTTCCAAACCCCTCGAGTATTTGCACTCTCGGTACCAGTGCTTTTTTTTTATTATTTAGGCCAAGCGAATACTAAACAAACAACAATCAGATCAGATAGTAAGGAGTGAGAAAAATGTTACCTTTACCATATTGACTAGTGAATGTCAAATAGTTGAATAGTTGAGACATATAATGGCAATAAAAAAGAAACGTCTTTAACCGTTCATTATCAGTATTCTCAGGATCACTGAGATGTTTAGGAGACTGACTGAGTTGGATTTTGTTTTTTTGTTTTATTTTATTTATTTATTTCTTACATACTTTTCTCCTTTGTTTAGAACTGAAGTCATGTGCTCCTCTTTTGACTCCTGCTAATGGAACTTTGCATGGAAGTGACACTTCTCACGGGGCAAAAGCCTCATTTTCATGTTTAACTGGGTTTGATTTATTTGGTTCACCGACACTAACGTGCAGCAATGGAGTCTGGAATGCAGTTACTCCGACATGTAAAGGTAGCATAGCGAATTATCTTAAATATTATTTACTGCTAGGTTTTAATTCTCTAATAATATTTACCGAGCTGCAAAGCAGTGAGGTAAACTGCCACCACTAGCCACCGACACCGAGGTGAATAATTGTTTTAGTATAAAACAGTGAGATAATTAAGCACAAAAATGATGATTTTTAACTCAAATGCTGTTGCCAACGATTACAATTTTGGCGCGCAATGACCGAACGGCGGCGGCCGTCGCTTTTTCTTGCATTTGTTTAGTTCTTGCGGGGAAGTTTCTTCGAAAGGAGTTGTGAATTCTTTTTGTATTTAAAATCATTCTATAAAAAAGATTATTAAATTTAGTTTTAAGCTTTTTATGAACAAGTCAACTAAATAAAGTAACGCAAGCTAGACTTAACCTTATTTTGTATTTGTAAACAAAAAAACTTTTTCGCCGGTTTTATTGATAAATTGGAGTCAAAAAGACAGAGCTTTAAAACTTCCAAACCGAACTTCGCCACCTTCTTCCTGTATTTGAGGAACAGCTTGCTTGATTAGTTGTGGAATTTCTTTGTTTATTACAGCAGCAAACGGGGAAGGCATTTTGCTCGCAACTTGAGCGAGTTTGGCGTCGCTCGCTCGGAGGAACTGGAGGTGAATCAGTGAATAGTGCGGGATATTCACTATCCACTGTTTTAGTATATACTAAAAGTAAATATTGTAACTAAAATCATGCAAAGTGCTTATTTATGTGTTATTTGTCATGTAAAGCACAAAAAAGTTAGCATTCCTCGCGGTTTCAACCTGATATCTAATTCTTAGTAAAATCCAAGATGGCGGCCAATATGGCGACCATTGTTGGTGACGTCACAGGCCTCCAGCAACGCCACCCCCATAAAATATACTTCATCTCGTTAAGAAGATCAAAGGCTTTCCACTTAGGGTAAAATCGTTTCAAAATACTGCAACATATCAAAAACTCCGGGGAGGGGTTCCATTCACCGCCCTCCCCCCCCCTGTACCACGGTGGGGATATGAATTTGCGTGTACATCCGAGGGTTAAAAGACATCTTTTAAGTAACGCCTTTTCTTACTTAAGTTTATTCTAGAATCAGTTAGGATCGTGGGCGGGCTCTAGCGTCTCACAGTTGCATTTTGGTCACTCCCTTTTTTAATCCCTTGAAGGTTATTTTTATCTTCCACCATTTCTTCACCTTGCCTCGTATTTGCAGATGTTTTAAGTCATTGTTTATCCATTTATATTGCTTTGAGGCATCTTGCGTCCTTCTCGAGTTCAAGTCTTTTCTATGTTTCGCACACTCCTTATTTTTACCCGACTCCCTGCAACGCCCTTCGCTCCAGGCCACTGATAACAAGTGGTATTGGAACCTCTGTATTATAGAACACGGACACACATTTTAAGATTTGTTAATGAGTGCATTGCAAATAGAGTTCCCAGATACCTTTTTAATTATTTTAAAGTAAGAAACCGTGACATTCACCGCCACAAAACTAGAAATAATAATGACCTTATTAAAAAAAGTTAACTTAGAATGCACTAAGGGCGCTTTTTTAAAAAAAAGGTGCAATTTTTTTTATTAATTCTTAGAATTTACAACTGTTCGAATCTTCCTTTTAATGTAAATATTTTTTTATTATTGTAATTTGTTTTTTATCCATATCTTTAATCTTCTTTTCCATTTTTTTTTCTTGTAATGTTTTTACAGGACCTGCATTCATAGCAGTTTTTTCTTAAAACTGATGCAGCAATCCTGTATAAATATGTTTAAATTATTATTATTATTATTATTATTATTATTTTTATTATTATTGATATTATTATTGTAAACTATTAAAATACTATTTACAATTAATTAACTTAAAAAAAGCTATTTCGTCAAAACACTGTTTACAATTCCTTTCGTTAAAAAAGCAGTTAGTTTTGATTAAAAGAAGATCATTTCATTAAACAAAAATTATTTAAATTAAGAACATTTCATTTCAATTAAAACAATTCATTTCGATGAAAAAAAGAAGAAACTATTTTCAATGTCAATTGCATTCTTACTAAGATAATCATTAATTATTATTATTATTATTATTATTATTATTATTATCTGACTTTTGTATTTGAATGCCCATGTTATATGACAAAGGAAGTTACATAAAAATAATTAGTATATACACACTTAGTGATCTTGGTGATTTAAGCAATCTGATTGGTTCGCTATCTCGGACTATTCAACAATATTCACCTCCTAGCGAGTGGATAATGTGTGAGCTCGGCGTTTTTTAGAGAACGATATTTTAAAAGTCGACAGAATCCTAGGGCTGACTTTTTTTAAGGCAAGAAAAGACTTGGAAGGATTCAATACGGCGTTTTTCAATTTACTGTCGCTGAGTTTTGTGCTCAATGGATTGTTTACAACTCCTGTGTATTCGCGTAGAAGAAGCCGTTTCGTGAACTCAGCGTTTTCTAACAAGAAAATTTTGGCTCAAAATCGAAGTTTATTTATGACAAACAAATTTAAAAGGAAATTCTATGTTTCAAGTAAACAGGAAAAAGAATGATACGGGAAGACGACGTCTTACCTCGAGCAACCGAGCAGCCATTTTTGTCAGCACTTCATGCGAAGAACGACACAACAAACGCTTTTGACTATAAACTTGACGAGTCAACAGAAAACAACAAAGCTCTACTTTTCTTCTCAGGTAAGGAAACAGTTCCAACTTTGAGCAGTTCCATTTAAGCCATTAGGCTGTTGTTTGCAAAATGATAAACTTGTAAATTGCCATGTTTGGAAATTCTGCAAAGATCTATTTTTAAACTTACGCGTGATTTGATCTGTCAATCAAATCGTACTTTTTAATGGTTTTCTCTCTGATTTTGTTGAGATCACTTCTTATGTATATACTAAAACAATTATTCTTTTCAATCTCGGTGATTAGTGGCTTTGGGAATATCTATACCTCGATTTCAAAGAATAATTGTTAATTATAAACTATAACGTTGTTCGTTGCCGTACATTTCCTAGCCCAATGCCAGAAAATAACAGATCCTTTAAATGGCCGGAAGTATGGTACACGATTTTCACATGGTGCAATAGCGTCCTTTGAGTGCAATGTAGGGTATGAACTGGTTGGAAGTCGTTCACTATTGTGCGTAGTTGGCAAATGGAATGCCTCTCTACCAGTGTGCAACGGTAAGACTGAAAGAAACTACCGCATCCCTCGAGTATAAATAACCCTTATTATGCACTCTTTAATAAATGAACAGTTGGGAAATAGATAGAAACTATGTGTCACAGCGATATAGCTTGGGGAGATCCTATACTAATTTGGGGTTCAGAGATGGTTACTGGAATCATGGGTAACTGTACTGCCTGAATATGCACCCATTTTCTCAGCATACAGAGACGGTGGATATTTCTGCTTGAGAACTGAATATAAATCATATATTGCGCTCATAGATAGCTTAGCACTTCCTCTTAATGCTAGGCACTCAGCTTTTGGTGGGAGGATTCTGGGAAGTGACAAGTTTATTACTCTTTGTTGAGCTACTTACTCTTTCCTTTCTTTTCTTTTTAAAATAACCCATTTTTTTATTCAGGTCAGGTCATTACCTCTTTGAACATTTGTAAAATAATTAAGCTATTTAGAATAGTATCTATTATCTTTGTGCATTGTATATGTTTTCTTTTTCATGTGGTTAATAAATAAAGTTTTGTATAAACTGGGCAGATGCTCTGCCTTCCGTAGAGATATCCCGGTGTATGGCCCTATAACTATAGAATAAGGGAATCAAATACCCGTTCAGAACTAGAGGAGGTGAAATCTATTTCATGTGATTTGTAACGGTAAAGCATTAACTAATTTGTAGGAATAATGTTGCCAGCATTCAGAATTATCAGCGGATTGTGAAATTAATAATTACAGTAACAAACAAATGTAACTAAACCCACGAGTATTTCTTTTAAATCCAATTTGTAGCAATGCTCTGCCCCAGACCTTCCATTCCTCCAAACTCCTATATAATTTATCCTGGAATAAAAGACAACTATGTTCATGGCATTAAACTCTTCCTTGGCTGTCGCAATGGATATTATCTCACAGGATCCTCAATAATGGACTGCAATCAGACTGTATGGAGTAAAGTGGAATTCAGATGCATCGGTGCGTATGTATGGTCGTCGCTAATATATAGATTTAGCCACAGCTAAAAGCGAAGCTCCCATTGATAAATTTATAACTTAAATCAAACAATAATTTTGTATTCCACAAATCAGTTAACTTAAGGGCACATTCATGTGACTTTTGAGGGAAAAGCTAAGTGATTTGGAGTGAAACAAATCTTGTATCGAGTTGATATAGCCTCATATATGTACCCCCAAAAATAGTCTTCGGTCACATTTAAGAGCAATAATGGCTCTTGATCACAATAGATAAGGCGTGGGAAACAAATTCTTGGAAAACAAATCAGGCCGATTTTTTTGCGCTCGACAAGTTTACAAATTCTTGCCAATAAATCTGGGTGCGTGCAAACCATTTTTTTATATATACACCTGATCCGAGGAGAAAGAGTACTATGAGGCGCTGTTTTTATCATATAGACCTCGGTACAAAATGCGGTATTTCACAATTTTTCAAGACAAATTGCATTCATTCAATACTCAGGACCATCGAAGCACGCGTGGACTTTTAATTAGCGAAACCGTTCAAAAAATGTCAAATCTTAATACAAACTTGCATAAACTAGCTTCATAAACTGCGCCGCTGGAGTTCATGAAATTAGATATAAATACGATAATCATTCAGGCTTACCATATTTCGAGATGCAGCTCCTGAAAGCTATCATGTAAGGCAAGGAGCGCTTAAGCCTTCATAATTCTCGTACGCATCCAACAAGGTGAAAAACAAAAACGATGCCATCCGAAATCGGATTATGGGCTTTGACAAGCGACGCATTTCTCAACCAAAAACCCAATAAACAAACCAGCCACGAATAAGAGAACACTCTTGATCTTGATAACAGCTGTATTTCATTTTTTACATCCAGTGGAAAAAGACAGTTAAAAACATCACAAGTCGACTCAAGATGCTGCATAAATTTTACGCATGAACTCACCCGTCAAATTTAAACCAAGCAAAGCATAAAAATTGGACGTGGAGCGTGACCAACACGTGACTATGGTTAGAAAAGGTCTTTCCCGCCTGTATTTAAAAAAAAAACTGGCTGAATTTTTGCGTCTGAGGTAAGTTTGAAATCAAAATCGTAATAGTGCGGGGCGATACTGACATAAACACAACATATTTGATATGAATTTTAAAAAAGTAAACGTGAGCCTGCGATCATTTGAAAACGAGTAAATTGTCAGCGGATAATTTAAAAAATACTCGACCTTAATGGGTCAACAACTGAGCCCGCGATACGGTCAGGTGATGCCGGTCAGCGGATACCCTGTTTTGACAGCTGTCAATTAATGACCACATTGATGTGCAATCAGCTTTCTCCTGGGCTCCCAAAGTAGCTAGAAAGTGTGAGAGTAAACATTGGTATGTCTGTGGTGCGGACGGACGGGCAGCGGGCGGTGTACGGTCACGTGATTACCTAATTTTCTCGGATGGGTAGATTTACTTACCCATGGTGCTCCGCAGGCGCGCTTCGCGCGCCAGAACTCCGCTATTAGTGAACCAATCGGAAAGTGAACCCATTTTGTATTAAAAACAACTAAAAATTCGAATATTTGGTTTGAATTGCTGTAACGTCATCTGATATAAAGGGAATGAGGTTTATATTTTTTTGCGGTAGAAGGGCTAAATAATGACTTTTATCGAGTATAGAGCATTTTCCTATGGCGTCACGGCAACCAATGCAAGGAAACGGCGGCCACTGGTGTTCCAAACAAATCCCGTGAGAGTTAAACTCTTTTCTTCCGTAAACGCTTTTCTTTGTTCTATTGAAAAATCTTTCACACTTCTATGAAAAAAAAAGAAAAGGAAAAACAATGGAAAAAGAAAAAAAAAGGTAGCAACTTGAGATCTAGCTAGAGAAATTGTACTTAATTTGTACAAAATTGTCCTCACAAGCCTCGACTTTATTCCATTGTATGTGCTCACTGGAACACGTTGATACAAAACTTGGCTATCCTCTAATAACAGCCCTGATTTTTAAGCCGTTATAGCGAATACATTAGCCGGAATATGCAGAGATGATAAAAGTCGTGTTAACAAACCCGGCACCAAGAAAATGTTATACATGAAAGCACCGGAATATTGTATACCACCGGTAACCTGGCCAGAAAGCCGTGAGTGGCTGATGATAGCTCAATATTTATAGTAAAGTTTCAATCCAGTACAGAATCAATATTAAAAGAATGAAAATCTTGCATGCGAGGAAATCCTTGTGATAAGCAAAAAATGTTTCTAACATGGTACACTTGGTACACTCCCATAAAACGCCCCCTACCTCATTCATTAATTGTTCTTTCCTTCCCCTCCCCCCCCCCCCAATAAAAAAGTTACAAATATCACTGTCACAAGGGTGAGGGGGAGAGAGGTAAAGAAATAAATAAAAAGTATTTGAAACAGTTTAAGATACGAGGGTATCCATAAACATCTTGGCAAAGGAAAGGGAGAAATAAGCTAAGAATTTTATAGATTCAGATTTCGCAGTTAAAAGGTTTTTCTATTGTTAAATGTGTGTTGTTCTCGTAGCTGAGTGCCCTGTCCTTGGTCAACTAAAGAATGGCATCATTACGCTCGTTACGTTGAGGAATGGCGGTGAGGTTGAAATAAAGTGCCTTACTAACTACACTTTAGATGGATCATCTAAAATTTTCTGCAGAAATGGGAAATGGAGTGACAGTTTACCGATTTGTGGAGGTTTGTGTTTCTATTCTTACTATAACTGGCTTCCACGTTACTCGTATGTTAATTTTTAGTTTCCATGACGCAGATATTTGCATTCCAACAATCTGACAATATTTAGCATTTGCCTCTTTTTTTAGAATCCGTTGCAACATAGGCAATGATCAGAGCCCATTAACTAAGGTTAATTCCACTGATGCCTAAGTTTTATTTTTTTAAATTAATCCCCCCCCCCCCCAGGTAGGTTACCCTGGGGCGTAAGGAAATGTATCCTCCTACGAAAGTTTAATACATCTAGCTTAACTTATAAATTTATGATTAATGGAATAAACTGAAAAGTGAACAAATTCTTTAGGTATTCGCTGTTTTTGAGAGTGAGGGCTTAGTCATTGTTTACTTGTACCATAGCACCATGCAGTGAGCCAGTAACACCACAACATGGCCGGAGATTAGGAAGAGATTTTATGCATGGACACTCTTTGAGATTTTACTGTAATAGAGGATACCACAGGGTTGGTACATCATCAATTACATGCAACGATGGCAAGTGGGATAAGCAGCTCCCTCTATGCAAAGGTGAAAATTATCTTATTGACTTGAGTATACTCTTATCTATTAATTTTGTGCTTAAAAATGCGACGAGATAAGTTATCCGCCGTCGTTTTAGACCTCCTTTCCTTCGACTGTCTCAAGACAGGATTTAATTATTTTTTTAATAATTTATTTATTAAACATCATTTAACATAGCATTACAATAAACTTTACAATAACAGGGCGGCAAATAAAAATGAGGCGGAACAGTAAAATAAATAAATAAATAAACAAACAAACAAGCAAAATAAAGCGAAATACGAAGGTTCAACAGATTAACGACAACAAGCAGAACAAATAGAAAAATGTTTGCTAAATTACTATAAATCCAACACTAATCAGAAATGCACAGCGTGGTCCACTTATTTCTGTATTTGTTAAGATTTCCTTTTGTTATTGCAATTTCTCTTTCGCACTGGATTTTAATTTCCAGGAGAGCAATGAGAACTTCCAGCTCTGGGGTCTCAAACTTGTTTCTAGCTAAGTAAACATAATATATAGCAATTAAGAGATAATGGTTAAAAGTATGAAAGCTGTTAGATTCAGGTTTGTATCCATAAAGAAGTTCCCTTGGATTGGGATTTGAGTTTTCAGAACGTTTACGATTCCACCAAACTATGACTTTTTCCCAAAAACTTTTTACCGCAGGACACTCGTAAAACATATGGCTAATAGTTTCACAAGGAGCATCACATTGTTCGCATTTTGGCGAAGATTTAACATTCATTTTCCAAAGGCGTTGGTTGGTCGAAAGAATATTGTGGATGAGTTTGAACTTCTTAGCTTATTTTCAATGGTGATTTTGAATGGAAGCTCATGTACGACACTAGGAGTGAATGTTTGTTCTCTTAAATAGGATTCAGTTAATGGAGGGCAGAAAGATTTCTCAGCAAACATTAGTCGAGCATATTTTGCTGAAACATTTCCAACGGTTAGTTGTGTCACCTTTGGTTCGTTGGTGTGTTCCTGATTGCCATGTAAGATAGCGTTTTTCCAATCTTTAGGAATCGCGGCCAGAAGACCACCGTAATCAAGAAAGGTACCACGAATGTGAAAAGTATCTTTAAGCTCTTGGAAAGATAGGAAGTTATCGTGAGCATTGAGGATATCTTTGATTCTTAAAATGCCTTTACTAACCCATGCTTTATAAAAAAACCGTCTTTCCTCCGATCTTAATAAAGCGCTTATTCCAAAGTATTTCCTCTTTAATTTCATTAACACTAAGGGGTACCTTGCAGTGAAGGATCTGCCAGACCGTCAAAATGTTCCTATAAAAGAGGGGGATACCTTCTAGATCTAAGAATTTCAAATCGTAATTACACTGAAACAAAAAAGAGCTTTCGAATTTTTCAAGATGAGAGCCAAGAAGCGCACACCAATGATGACCATCCGATGCACAATAGCGATTTACCCAGGCAGCTTTAAGAGATTTTTCTACGCCCGCGAAATTGACCATGCTAAGGCCACCTTTGGAGATTGGGCCTGTCAGTGTGCTTCTTTTGATTTTATCAGGCTTAAAGTACCATATGAAAGGGAAAATGACCTTATTAACTTCTTTAGCAAAATCGGTCGGAGTATCAAGTACAGAGCAATTACAAACAAGTTTAGACAGTGCTAATGTTTTGACAATAGCAATTCGCCCCAGGATTTACAAGCGCCGACCTGACCAAAGATTTAACACCTTTTTCATTTTAACAAGCCGTTCATCAAAGTTGATTTTCTCGCCAACGTGTGTTTCATAAGCGAAAACTAGGCCGAGGGAGGAGACGTATTGCTTCGGCCAAGAGATTCCATAAGGCTCGTCTTTACCTAATCTGTTTTTCCACAATCCCAGCCACAACCTTTCAGTTTTCGACTTATTTATTCTCCGACCGGAGAGCGTACTGAATCGATCAAGCAAAGCAAAAAGGGCTACTGCAGACGAGTCGTCGTGAATAAAAGTAGTGGTATCATCGGCATATAAGCTGACTTTAGATTCTTTGTTTCCGTTCTTAAGACCTTTGATCGATTTGCTTGTTCTGATCTGAATAGCAAGAGGCTCTACGGAAAGAATAAAAAGCATCCCGGAAAGCGGGAACCCTTGTCTCACTCCCCTTTTTAGGGGAATGAATTCCGAAGCATGTCCATTGTTTACAACGCAGCTAGAGATATTATGATAAAATGTGTGGACCCAGTTACGAAAACTTGAGCCAAACTTCATTTCCTCTAACACCCGGAAGAGAAAGTCCCATTCTAACGAGTCAAACGCTTTTTCAAAATCCAGAAGAAAATCATTACTTGGTCATTTTCATGTTGTGCGATAATATCAGAAATAAGACGGATGTTTTCGCCAGTGAATCTGCCCTTAATGTATCCTGTTTGATTACTTCCTATAAGGAGCGGAAGAACTTTCTCCAGCCGTTTAGCAATGCATTTAGTAGCAATTTTGTAATCTGTATTTAAAAGCGAAATGGGGCGCCAATTCTTAAGAGACAATAGGTCCTTGTCCTTTTTTGGCATTAGCGAAATAATTCCTTGTCTCTGAGAGATGGAAATTCTCCTTGTAGAGCCCCGTGATTAAGACAGTCAATCAAAGGGCAAGAAATCTCCTTCCAAAAACAGAGATAGAATTCCGCTGTTAGACCGTCTGTTCCGGGGGTCTTGTTACGTTGAAACGCTTTAATGGCAGAAAAGCATTCTTCTTCAGTAATCAAACCCTCACAAAGGTTTTGTGAAACATCGTCTAGTCTTGGTAAAGGTCCAGAATTAAGAAAGTCTGATAGCTGGTCAGGGGAGGTTTGGCCTTGGGAAGTATATAATTGTTGGTAGTAATACTTCATTTCATTCAAGATAATTTTAGAGTCTTCTATTGTAGAGCCTGCTGAGGATTTCAATTTTTTTATGTCTTTTGTTGTAACTTCTTTTCGAAAGATTGAGAAAATATTTATTACATTTTTCTCCTGATTCATACCATCGAGCTCGGCTTCTGACAATACAACCTCTGGTTTTCTCCTCGGCCATTTGATCTAATTTAATTTTTATCTTTTTTGCCTCGTTCGCTAGATGACTTCCTTCTGGAGCAGCATCAATACGAGCATTTAGATCTTGGAGTTTTCGGAGAAGTTCGAATTCCATATCTCTTTTTTCCTTAGCTTTTCTTTTAGCAAATCGAATGGAGAAGATCCTTATTTCCATTTTTATCATTTCCCAAAAAAGCCTTTTGTCAGTAACTTCCCTGTACTTTTCTTTAGCATTTAGGATTAAAAACTTCAATTTTGTAACGAATTCTTCATTCTCAAGCAGAGAATTATTAAACTTCCAAAACCCTGGTGCTCTAGGCCTTGATCTTCTGGTGTCAACGAGATGGTGACAGGCGAGTGATCTGAGTCATAATAAGCGCTGATATCCGTTTCAGCAACGCGTGTCAGTAATTGTTTCGAAATTAGTCAGAAATCTAGTCGACATTTAATCTTTCCTAGGTCATTTGCCCAAGAATAACGCTTCTTATTCGGGTGTTGAGTTCTCCAGACGTCGACTAAGTCAAACCTGTTACAAAGTTCCCCGATTGCTTGGATGGTCCTTTTCTTATGGAGTATGTCCCTACCACCTACTTTATCGACCTCTGTCAAAGGACAGTTAAAGTCACCGCCTAGCAAAATGTTGTTAGTACTACTACGGCGAATGGGATCGATGATTTTATCAAAAAAGTTAATTTGCTGGTTTTGGTCATTGGGAGCATAAATATTAACTAGGTAGACACAAATTATCTTCATTAATATTTATGTTCGCGACGAGAAAACGTCCATTTTTGTCCACAGTGATTTCCAGAATATCAACGTTCAGGGAAGGGTTAAACAATATCATTACGCCCTTACTGTGTTTGGAACAGTGCGCAAACAGGATTTCACCACCCCATTCTGCCCGTCACACATCCTCCAAGCTATTGTAGCATCGCTATAGGTTTCTTGTAAGAAAATTATATCGAATCTATTCAGATGGAGCCACCGAAAGAGCTTCCTCCGTTTAATTGATTTATTGAGGCCCCTTATATTCAGCGAAACCGCCTTAAGGCACTTTTGTTTCTGGTATCTTTAGGCATTCGTTTTCGGGTTGATATGTGTTCCAGACTGTGCAAATCATGATAGTGTTTTGCTCAAGAAAAAGTTGCCGGTTAGTATTTTGGCGCATGCAAGTTACAATGGACAAAGGTGAAAAGCAATTGCAAAATAAAAGACAAAACATAAAAAGCGAAATACTTTGACAAAAAATTTTAGCACATGTAACAAAATGCACATAAATTAAGCTGTAGAACAACTTATTGTATAGGAAGGTTAATGCAAAGATGCAAAGCAGCATTCAATCTCGATTAGAGACAAAGCGACGCCCTCCTACCATTCTCTCCGCTAATTAAATATCAGAATGTAAATTTTAGACTGAAAAAAGTAGCAAGGTGTAAGGCGAAGAAAGTGAATAATTTAAATAGTATTGAAAAGAGGTGTTTCCTGTTTTGGGGAGCAAATTAGCATCGGGGTTTAGTAACCGAGGCGAAAAAAAAAGAAGAAGGAAAAGACTAAATTAGCTAATTTTGGTAAGATCTCCTTAAGCGTGTATTATTTTTGGCTGTTCTTCCTGTGACTTCTTAATAAATAGCTTGCCGTCCAAAGTCCCGGCACTATGCCAATGATTATCTTTCTTAAATTTTCTAACTTTCGCAAACAACTTGCGCCTTAAATATGTAAGATTTTTATTGATATATACCACGTTTGTAGGATGAAAATACTGATTTAAACTCACTGACTTTAGATGTTTCCTAGCTTTGTACAGCTCAGTTTTCTTCTTATGTGATTTAAACCGAACAATAATAGGTTTGGGGCCGTTGCTGTTCCGAGGTCCCATTCGGTGACAAATGTCGATATCAGAGGGAGATATGCGCACGTTGGCGACTTTTCCAAGCTTAACAACATTGTCAGCGATATCTTCGTCTGCAGTTTCGGCGATTCCATGAATCTCTAAGTTGTGTTTTCTTGTATACTGTTCCACGTCATCTACTTGGGTTATCACCGTTCCAAGATCTTCGTAGAGGATGTCAACATCTGCTCTTACCTCGCTGAGAGATTTTTCGAGCGACGACACTTTCTCTTTAAGCTCTTTATTTTCTTTTTTGAGAGACGTCAGTTCGGCATTATTGAAGTCTAAAGATTCCTTTAATTCTTCATATTGCCTTCTCATAGCACGGTTTTCTTCCAATAGTTCGTCTGTGTTCCTACGGATCTTGTTTAGGACTATCCAAACGTTACTATCGTTCTCGTTGTTGCTTAACTCTTCAAGAGTCTGCTTCGCCGACTTGGTTGGAGGTACCTCGAGTGAGCTTCCGCTACTAAACCTTTCATCACGTTTTCTTCGTACGACAAAAGGTGTATTACTGCTTTCCTCACTTTCTTTTCTTGACATTTTAGGGCGGAGAGAATAACGTTCTCGGACTACTCGAAAACACGTCCGCACATCATGCGAGTCTTCCCAGTCTCCCCTAATTAATGCTTACGGCGATTGTGCTTTTCTATGCATGATAATAGTGATATAAATACAAGAACGTCGTTTTCAATAGCAAGACGTATTTTTTAAATGGTCCGATATAAAAGTATTTTACATTGTTGTCGCGCCATAAACATTGATGGCCCATACGCTTTTTTGTTTAACTGTTTAAAAAAATTACTGACGGCTGCTCGGTGGATGTCGACCCCAAGAGATGATGAATATCAAGAAATGTTGAGTATTTTTCCCTATTTTATTACAAGTTTTTAAAAACCTCAGGTTAAAACCTCAACCTTGATCCTTGTAATCTCTAGGCAAAATTTGCGAGCAATCATTTGTTATAGGTGAATGCCTGTCTACATTATTTGTCGCTTTTCATTATTTGATGAAGGTAATAAAATAAAATCTCTAAATATAGAGAGAGCCGAAATAATAATTGCAACAATCCATGAAAATTAAGGTTAAAATTAAGGTTTTGGGGACACTCTTTTTGGAAAAAAAAAAAACAAACAGACAATGAAACAAAAAACAAAACAAAAACAAAACAAAACAACGAAACAAAAACAAAAACACAACAAACAACAAAAACAAACAGCAACTTTAAAATTAAAAAGAATATATCAGGCAGGAGGTGATAATGCTCAAATCACGGATTTCGCTCAAACTTGGCACAATTGATGGGTGTGGTGAGATATTAACCTCGACAAAAAATAAGGTCGCAATATTGAATTCCCTGGGATTTACAGGGACCCCCCTAAAAACGACAAAATCTACTCATTTTTGCATAATTAATTAGCTGACTTTGGTTTGGCTGTTCAACAAGAAGAAAAGACAACTTCAAATCTAATCAACTTTATCATATTCTATGTTTATCAAACTTAATGCTCAGTAATTTATTTTTACTCTCTAATTCGATCTCTTCCTATTATTTAGCCTAAAGTAAGGACATCTTCTCACTGTTTTGACCAAACCCTAAATTTAAGGAATTTTAGTGGCTAACATCTCCCATGAGCAACAACCTATGTACTTAATTCTCACATATTCTTTGAAAGACATCTTTAAGGTTATTAAATCAATCATAAAATATTTGGGCAACCTCATACTTTATCAATAATGACGTATTATGTACATCTGACTTGACGCTTATTTGTCATTTGACCAAAATTGGAAGAAACGTAACATTCGCTTTTTTAAACAAAAATAGCACAAAGTTGACGAGAAGTCACAAATCAGATGCGTCATTGTCGATACTAATAGCGGAATTGTTAGAACGTGTCACCTGAGGCATGTTTTCTGTGTTATTTATGGACGTTTGGATGGATATTTTATGGAACGCTTGAGTAAACACAAGGAGCAAAAGAGTTAGTTCAAAACTTCGATCGGTCCAACTTGTAGGTGAAACAAGACCCAGCAAGGATAAAAGATAGTGAATAAATGTTACATACACGTCCCTCAGGTGCTTTAGTCCAGATTTGCTGTTCCAGTGGTTCGTCTGGTCCTTTGTGGCGTTACTTCGTGACGAGGTAATGAAATCGAAACGTCTTGAAACATTGCAGAATTAAAAGTGTCGGCTTTTCACCGAACATTCGAAGTCTTTGAAATAAGTTGTAGTCAGAAAGAGCAAAATAATTCTCAAAGGACAAGAAGGATCACTGACAATCGGCCTATATCTACAGAAAACAACCACCTGCTCGAACACCCTCCATCTTTGACTTAAGACTCTGCCAAAAAGATGGAATCTGTGACGCCGGACTACCGGACTCCGGAATGCGGAATACGCTATCTATTGTTGTACGCGCCAATATCCTGTTATAACTGGTGTGTTGAAAATAGGTCGTAAAAGTCGTGTTACTTGAAATTTTGAGTTTATTCGATGTTGACATTAATTACCATGATAATAATGGTCCATAATAACCCTTTTTGTAGCCAGACCGTGCCGTGCAATTTTTAGACAATTAATGACTTGCCACTGGGTATAATTACTTACTTAGTTGTATTCGTAATCCTCGTAGTCTTACAACTATACAGGTTATATTATTGACTACAAAAATATAATAATAACCGTTTATAAACGTGTTGAGGAAAAACCTCTGAGGAATACAAAAGACCCAAAAGGGGGCACTAATACATTGCAAAAAAAGTCGGCTAGACTTCTTTGGCTATAAGGAAGGCGTAAGAGAACAGTTTCTTGAACACAGACTAATACACTATATTCACTTCTCATTTAAGCTGTCATTTACGGATTCATACAGTAGATTAAGTTCTCTTAACGGACACTCTCGTATATAGCGAATAGCTCTACTTACGCCCTCCATCACAAAATACCGTTTCAACTCCCACACAAACTCTGGATTTTTACATTCCCGTAGGCGGCCGCGGACACTCAAAGGGTTTACCAGCGAATTAGATGTTAGCTTTGATTTAAAGCTCTCCTAAGCAGCCTCTGAATGTTGTTGTTGTTTTTTTTTTGTTCATATCATGTCCACAGTCATATGGCTGTTTGTCACTGTTATGAATCATTATATATCCGTTTCAGAGTTACCGTTTTTTCACATACTCGTCCGGTTTCACTTGAAAATACAAACTGAATTGTATGCTTTTACGTAAATTACAACAAGGCAAGAACATCAGCGTAACCATACACTAAAAAACAGTTTTTTGCTATTACCAGTGTTAGTTTGTAGCTGGGAGGAGCTTCCGTAAGCGGCTATCTAACCTTTACACCACTTTTAAAGTGGCTGAATTCCACCTGCATAACTATGCTGCATATGAGATTCATTCTTGTAAGCGGCCAGATCCAGTTAAGGACACCTTTTTCTCGTCCCGAGGGCACCCTCGTACGAGAGCTTCCACTGTATTACAATTTTAGGATTTCTCTTACATTTTAACAAATTTTCGCTTAACGAGGCACAGTCGAAACTACGTGCGCTCACCCAACTTAAGTGACCACTTCCCAATAAGCGATCACTTATTCAAATCATGCACCAAATATATTATCAAGTCAAGCGCTTGTAGTTGGAACCTCCTGTAAACGAACACATCCACATCCAGTAAGCGACCGCGACCACTCAGTTTACGATGACAGTCTGATTGAGAATTTTCCATGATGCGATGGTCTGATCTCTGCGTTCCCTGTATGTCCTAAGCTACTCGGAGTATGAGAGGAACTTTAGAAACAAACTAGATTTATCTATCGTATATTGTAACTTAAAAATTGCATGCAGTACATTCACTCCAAAAAGTAGATGTGTCCGCACTTTTCCTCGTTAAAGACCTCCTGCAGTTCGACTCTCGTAAAACCCAAATTTTCCTTGGGCAACCCCATGGGCATTATTTACTGGGTGTCTTCCGACCACGCACGGACCGAAACATCAAATGTCTGTAGCTTAATTGTTGTGTCTGTCCATAATTCAACATCTGCCTGCCTCAGCACGGCACACGGCTTGGCACTAAACTGGTTTTGGTGCCCAAGAGTACGCAAAAAGGCCCTTCCGAGATCGATGTCTAGGACGAGAAAATTGACCTTACCTGGGTAGGGTGAGAAATTTGAAATCGAAGTATTACTGTTGAAGTAACTCTCGGAGGGAATGTGGGAAGGGTGTTAAACATATGGAAACGGTTGTTTGAGAAAAATATCTAACTCAATGTGAAAGTCTGGTGTATTTTGAATTCTACTTGGGAACATTAGTGCCACAGTTAGGCTTTATAAGACCCCCAAAAGACCGTGCGAGATAAAAAAATTCACTGTTTATGACCGTCAAATCTGGTGCCAGCAGGGTAGGGCATTTGTACGCAATCTTGGACACTCCCCCGGGGAGAAGGGACTCCAGTATGGAAAAAAAAATGGAATTCTTGTCGCAAGCCAATCTGGACGTGTCTCACGCTTTATTTGTCTCTTTGAACTGGTCTGCACTAACATCCGGCTTCACTTCGCTGCTATTTCACGTGCAACTAAAGTAGAAAAAATAGTTCTTTCCAAACACGACACAAAACGACTTCTATCTCCGAGTTTGAGAAGACATGGGGTCATTTATAATCATGGTCTGAATAAAGTTGCCAATAGATTTGGAATTCTAAATTATTTATCAGCATACAATAACAATAAAATAATCTCAGAGAATGTCGGAAAGTCATTTTGTTCACTGAACTCTGGCTCCTGGCTCCTGGTTCCTGACTCCCGATACGATGTTTCCGTATGGTGGCAACCGCTGCTTAAAAATGCGGGCTCCATTTAATGTCAAAGATGTCGGACGTTTGCAACATGTGAATTGAGCTACAACAGTGGCAGAAATAATTCTTTCAATGGGTTAAGAATCGGCTTTCTACATTTCGTATTGGTTTGTCCTAAAACAACTTGATTTGGATTTTGGTGCGTAAACTGATGGCTAAGGAATTTTAGTCGTACAGCGAGTCACGACGCTGAACTGTTAAGTTAAGTTCCAGGTGGCTTTTATGTTTGTTGCACTGGCATCGTAAAGTTAGCTAATTAATTATGCATAAACGGGCAAAATGGCGATTTTTATAGGGGGAGCCCGGATCTCCCAGGGAATTTAATATTTTGACCTGACATTCTGTCACATAAGCTAACTGCTGATACCTAACATTTGTGCCAAGTTTGAGCGAAATCGGAGATTTGAGCATTATCACCCCCTGGCTGGTTCTGCCTGGTTTTCTCATGGACACACTCTTAAAGTTTTTACCTCTTCACAGCAATTTCGCAGTTATTGAGTACTATTTTTTTTCTTATTTTATATTCTCTTGCTTATTGTTTGCAAAGTGTTGAATCTTACACAAAATGCTCATATTTAAGCAATGGAGTAAGTTTAAAATAACTGCATTTAGGTATAGGTCTTGGTATAGGTATAGGTATAGGTATAGGTATAGGTAAATCATAAATTTTCAACTGCGTTCCTGTATACTAATTTGGTATAGGTATACTAATGAGCGTCTCTCTTATACAATACGAACAATGGGCTTGTCTAGCCAGCCTTGCCCGCTCTATATCCATCTGATTGGTTGATGAAGAACCATTATGCTTTCAAAATAAAACTGCGCAGAAGTTGAAGGCGCTAACTTTCTTTTATATATATATATATATATATATATACAAATACTACAAATACTACAAATACTTACAAATACTTTTTATTTTAACTATGAAAAATAAAATATATATCTATATGGCAAAAAAACAAGCTAAATTTGTAAAGGAAAAAAAACAAAAAAAAACAAAAAACAAAATAAAAACAAAACAACAACAACAACAACAACAAAAAAAAACAAACTAAATTAAAAGGAAAAAGACGCAAACCTGATAACTGAAACAGTATAGCAGTAAAGTGTAGCTTGAAGGAAATGACACTAGCATTCACGTATCTAAAGAAGTTTGTCCCATGTTTTTTTGAATTGCGATAAGCGGTTAGATTTAAAAGCTATGGTGCGAAGAATATCAAATTTGTTGTTGAGACGCAGTAGAAAACTGTCAAAGTCCAGGACGCCGTTGCGTACGCTTGTAGCAAAAACATTATATTTGGCGACAATCAAACAGTAATTAAGCACTTCCCAGTTATTTGACTCTTTAACTTTTCGTGCCACCAGTTAGAAAAACAAGTCTAAAACGAAGAGGATACACTACAGGTAATTAACATATTTTTTAGAGATTGACTTTCAAGGTTGCATAAAGGACAAACATCAGTATCAGTTATGCGCGCGGAAGAGGCTAGATTGGGTGGGTAAAATGTTGTGAATAATTTTGACGTGGAACATGATCAGTTTTGGTTCTTTCAAGATTTTGAACGGGAGCATGTAGATGTAAGGAATTTCCTCTTTGGTGAACCCATGATCTAGAATTCTGCCTTCAGCAGTGGGTGCTGAGAGGCTTTTACCAAGTATGGAAGAATAGGCTTCTTATGTGGAAAAAAGCTTCACGGATGTTTCGCACTTTTCAGATTCATCATGCACGCCTGCTTTGACTCGTAATGCACTTTTCCATTCAGTTGGTATGGCTCTTAAAAGGCCGTAATAAGTGGTAAAAGGAAATTCAAAGTTATGTTTCTCTTTCATTTCTGATAAGGTAAGAAATTTAAGGTTAACATTTAGAAGGTCTTCGATGCAACGAATTCCACTTGTACACCAGGATTTAATATAAATCGGTTTTCCATCAATACATATGTTACGGTTATTGCAAATTATTTGTTTTTTTTATGGAAATTTGCTTGTCACAGGTTAGTCTTCTGAAGTCATGCCAGTAATGATGCATTACTTGATTCAGCAATACGCTTTATCCAAGCAATCTTTAGCGACCACTCCATGATTTCAAAGTCAATCATTTTTAGGCCCCCAGTGTTTTTCACCATTGATAGTCTTTTTCTTAATTTTGGGAGGCTTACCCTCCCAAATGAAGCTGCAAATAATCTTATTAATTCTGTCTATAAGGGATTTAGATACGGTCAGTAACGAACTGCAATATATGAGTTTCGACAAACCTAATGTCTTGACACTATTGATTTTGTCAATTAAAGTTAGCTTTCTTTTTTTCCAGTTGTTGATTTTTTTTCCAAAGAACAAACCTTTTCTTCAAAGTTAAGGGTGTTGACTTGCTTTAAGTCATAGGAAAAGTGTATACCGAGGGCATAGACTGGTTCTTGGGGCCATTTAAAACCAAACGGCTTGTCTTTGCGCGACCTCCAACATCCTAACCACAACGCTTCGGTTTTGTTTGTATTAATTTCGAGACTACTGATCTGCTTGAATTTGTCTTAATGTTGTAGTAATTGTGTGACAGAATCAAGATCTCACACCAAAACGGTGGTATCGTCTGCGTATTGAGTTATCTTAATTTCCTTCTGATCGACTTGGATGCCTTTAATAGTATGGTCTTTCTTAAGTACTCTAGCTAAGAGTTCGATTCCAACAACGAAAAGGAGGCCAGACAGTGGGCAACCTTGTCGAACACCTCGCTCGAGAAGGAAGAAGTTCGATGCATGACCATTGTGCAGTACACAGCTCGATGCTTGGTTGTAAATAACTTGAAACCAGTTGAGTATGTCAGGGCCAAAATTAAACGTTTGTAAAGCGGCTCTTAAGTAGTTCCATTCTGTTGTATCAAACGCTTTTGGAAAGTCGAGAAATATGGCAATACCGGGTTTTTCTTCCTGCTTAGTGTGAGAAACTACATCTTGAATTAGCCTAACGTTTTCACCGATAAAGCGTCCTTTAATGTAACCAGTTTGGTCAGAGTTTATGATTTTAGGAAGGACTTTTTCTAGTCTTTTTGCAATAGATTTTGTCAGAATTTTGTAATCAACGTTTAGTAGAGATATGGGTCGCGGGTTTTCAAGTAAAGTTTTGTCTTTGTTCTTTTTGGGGATGAGTGAAACAATTCCGCGCTTTTGGCTGATAGATAGTGAACCTTTTTGGAAAGCATAATTAAAACTGGCAGTCATCTCAGTGCCAAGGTCACTCCAGACGAATTTGTAGAATTCTGCAGAAAAACCATGAGTTCCTGGCGTTTTATTGTTTTTAAACTCTTTTAAGGCAGTTAAGCATTCTTCTTTTGAAATCATGCCTTCACACAGTATTTGTTCGTTTTCATCTAGTGGATCAGTATTCTCTAAACTGAATAAATCAACTTCTAACTTTCAACTAACTTTCTTGCAATCGCGTTGCAATCACTTTTGTCACGCTCCGTTAAAAACAGTTAATTACGCGAGTTCTTTAAAAAGAACGGTGCCGACATTTGCATGCAAATTGGCTCTGCAATAAAACTAAAAACACAAACAAGAAATAACTTAAATAGGATCAATTGGAACACTCTACTAATAAATGCTTGCAATAAAACTAGACACAAGATACCGTTTTAACTTTATTAGAAACCAATAATGTTGCAAAAAGAATAAAATACACAGCGATTTAAAACGAACCTATTATCATTGTCATTTTCTTTTTTTCCTCTTCCTCCTCCTCAATTTAATTATTTTCCCTCCTCCTCTTCGTTTTTTTATATTCTTCCCTCCACCTACACTACGACCCTATAGGACCCTTCATCGACCCTTCATCGACCCTACGTCGACCCTACACTCCTTTTTTTTTTTTTCAACACAGCTTCGTGAATAGTGAAACTATATACCACCCCCATACTTCTATTGTTTTCCCTCCACCAGAACCACATTTCTATTGTTTTAACTCCACCAACACCCCCAACACATTTCTATTGTTTTCCTGTTTTCCCTTCTCCACCACCACCACCACATTTCTATAATTTCGCATATTTTTATCCTTCTATTTTCAAGCGCAATGTAGTGACCCTGGGTCACCAGTCCACGGAAGAAGGCGGGGAAACATTTTCAGACACAACTCATGGGTGCAGTTTCTCTGTGATGTTCATTATATGCTTCATGGTGAAGAATGGATCCAGTGTATTGATGGTTCATGGAGTGCTTTACTACCTAAATGCATTGGTAAGCCTGCAACTTTAGATGGAATGTTTTTTCACAGACCTTTGTCAGTTTTTTTTCAATCGTCTGTCCTTTCATAACAATAGGGACGAACTTTAAACAATGACTGCGGAATGATCTGGTACGGTGAACGGAAGTAATTTTTCTCCAGCCACCCGTCAATGGCTCAAGTAGGGAGTCTAAAATATAACGACGGTTGGGCAGCTGTAAGTGAAATCGCGTTCTTTAAATCTCTATAGCGATTATTCCAACCCAGTTCTTTTGACAATTGTAGGCGAAATATATCTGCTGTAGTTGAAATCGTGCAGCGACAAAGAAATGTCCAAAAAAAAAAATACTAAAAAAGTGCGATCTGTGGGCAATTTAAGGATTTTCTTGTTTTGCCAACTCTATTCACTTACCCCTTATTTTATTTACCGTAAACGGTATTTTCTCTATTTGAATGTATTTTTCGCTTGACCGCCATCCCTGACACGGAATTTGGGCCCATGATAAAAAAATAAGCCTTCTTATTTTTCCAAGGATGACCTAAAAAGAATAAACTGCGTAGTAACTCTCATTCAAATTTACACTAGCGTTCTAATCTTCAAAAAACGCAGCTGACAACTTAACGTACTCGACTCCACTGTCCGCCAAGTAGATTCAGGAAACGTAGTACGGCAAGAAAATAAGTTCAATTGGCAAATCAACAGCTTTGCACTTCTGCGTTCATATTATTATTCTATTTCGTCACCACTGCCACAGGGATCCCATGAGATTGTAGTACGCATGCGCACGTCAGTGCTTTCGCTTGCGCGTTCAGGAAAGAAGCAAAAATGTTTCTCGAGCGTTTATCTACAATTATATCGTCCATTTCTACCTTTTTCACGTCAAATTCACAAGAATACTGTTTATTGAACCTTATCAAAATCTACACAATGGCAGAAGATCGAATAGCAGATGGTTCTCCCGGCCACATGAGCCGACCCGAAGCTGATGCAACACCGTTGACAGGACTCTTGCAAGGACTCCAAGCTTCAATAGCACAGCTCACTCAAGCCTCGCTATCCCAGACGGAAGCCTTCAAGAACCTTAAAGAAGATCTCCTTTTATTACCTGACTCACAAGACGAACGTTCAGATGAAGAGGAGCCAAACCACGACGCCGTTGACCCAACGGCCGCCGTGAATGCCTTGCTCGACACCAACAAAGGCGCCCACGTGGCAAAGTCGGCCGATGGCTAAGATCAACGCTCCACGACAGAGCAGGATGTTATTGATAGCCTGACTCAGGCTTTAAAATCCAAACCAAAGAAATCTCCACCCATTGACGCCAAAATCGCATCTTTCGTCGATGACATTTTGACCGGAGATTTGTCCGCCGACATGGCGAGGGAGAAAGGAGAGAAGTATCCTCCTCCTGAAAATTGCAAACACAATCAAGCTATTACTATTAACGAGGAAGTTTGGGACCTCATGTCTAGAAAGAACAAGTCGATAGACTTAGCGTACAGGAGGTACAAGAGCCACTCGTCGAGGGCTTATCGGCGCTGGCAATTTTGTCAGACCGCCTAGTGAAAGACGTCCAGTCTTCCAAGACTACAAACACCCCGTGAAATTTTAAACCAAGTTATGGACGCAATTGCCATACTTGGGAATGCCAATTGGAGGCTAAACATGAAAAGGCGAGAGATTATTAAGCCTGAATTAAACCCGCCTTACACAAGGCTTTGTAAAGAGGAAATAAAACCCTCGCAAAAACTCTTTGGAGATGACCTATCAAAGCATCCCAAAGAGATGACAGACGCCAAACGCGCTGGGCAGCAGATGCAAAAAAGTAGCCAGTCTAGTAAAAGCTACAAGCAAAAAGGCCACCGATCCAAGCCTTATGATAGACCATCAACCAGCTCCACCCGTACTTGGCAAGGATACAGCCAGAAGAACTACAAGCGTCCTTTTTTAGGATACGGCAGGGCATCAACTCAAACCAACCAGAAGAACAACAACAACCAGAAAACACAGTAACACAGCAGGTGATTGATGTTAATTGTAATGTCTCGAAAACCAACATCTATAAAGATGACCTACAGGAAAAATGCTTACATTTTCAGGCAGGTCAGGTGAGAAACTACTCACAACACTGGGAGTTATTGACCAATGCCCCAGTGATCTTGGATGCCATAAAACATTATCATATTGAGTTTGAGCTGGATGATCCCATCCAAAATAAAGAGCCACACAATATTCGTTGCTCCTCAAATGAGAGAAACATAATAAGTATGGAAATCTCCAAACTTCTCTCCAAAGGGGTACTGGAACTAACACACAGATCACCTGGTGACATCATATCCAATATTTTTTGTAAGACCCAAAAAGGATGGCTCTTACAGAATGATTCTAAACCTAAAGCCACTCAATGAGTTTGTGGATTATCACCACTTTAAGATGGATACCTTTCAAACGGCGCTCAAAATCATACAACCAGGATGCTTTATGGCATCCGTAGATCTCAAAGATGCATATTATTCCATACCAGTGCACCCAGAACATAGGAAATATCTTATGCTCGAATGGGAGGGCTAATACTACCAGTTCACTTGCCTCCCTAATGGGTTGTCTTCTGCCCCCCGAGTTTTTACCAAAATACTCAAACCATTCTATTCACATCTGAGATCCATAGGTCATATGTGTATGGGACATATTGATGACTCACTTCTTGTGGCATATAGTCTTGGTTCTTGCCGCAAGAAAATTTATGATACTGTCAATTTATTTACTCTGTTGGGGTTTACCATTCACCCAGTTAAATCCGTTTTGGAGCCAACACAAACCATACAATTTCTTGGATTTGTAATTAATAGTGTGGCAATGACTGTTAAGCTTCCTCCAAGTAAGGCAGCAAAAGTTAAATCAGCATGCCAAAATTTAGTGTTAAACTGCAACCCCACAATAAGGGAGGTTGCGCAAGTAATAGGATTATATGTATCCAGTTTTGCTGCAGTACAGTATTCCCAACTACACTACAGAACCTTAGAATCTGAAAAAATCCATGCCCTGAAAGTCAACGCAGGGAATTATGAATCTACCATGACCCTATCTCAAATGGCCAAGACAGAGTTAAGATGGTGGATAGAAAACATTGATATGGCATCTAGACCACTAATGTTCGGTAATCCAGACATCACTATTACAACTGATGCCTCAAACTTAGGTTGGGCCGCTGTCTGTAATGGGACTAAAACTGGAGGACCCTGGGGTAAAGATGAAGCAGACTTTCACATCAACTACTTAGAGATGAAGGCAGTACTTCTAGGCCTAAAATCCCTTTGCAATAATACTACAGGGAAACACATTAGAGTCCAGTCTGACAACACTACTACTGTCTCATATATCAATGAAATGGGAGGAATAAAATCTGTCTTGTGCAATGATATGGCTCAAACCATATGGGCATGGTGTATTGATTCTAATATATGTTTAAGTGCTTATCATATTCCAGCTTCTCAAAATACTGATGCTGACAAGCAATCAAAGATATTCAATGTATCAACTGAGTGGTCCCTATGCACTCAGGTTTTTGAAGACATTCAAAAACTTTGGGGCAAATCTGATGTAGACTTATTTGCGTCAAGACTTAACTTCAAAATCCCTAGTTATGTCTCTTGGCGACCAGACGCCAATGCCATGTTTGTCAACGCTCTGTAAAAACTTGCAAGAGGTGACAGGCCGCACATCTTCACCGGCGTGAAACCTTTAAAACCTTTTATACATTACTCCATTGAGGAGACCTGTTTCAGGGATGTGACAGTTTAAAATTGTAACATCCATTAGGAAAATTGTGTAAGTGGAGCAGAACCTTTTAAATGTTCAGCAGACAATTTATTCAGTTCGCGCGTATTCCTGTTGAATTTGTAGCCCGTTTATGAGATATGTCTACTCAAAAATATAATAATTTTTCCATAGCTGCTGTTATCTGAGAGTAACTGCTTTTAATATCTCCGTAAAGTTTAGGTTTACGCGATCTCAGAGAACAATGTTTAGCTGTACACAGCACGTAGTCTTTGTACAAAATATATCCAGATCTGACACTGGTTTTGGGTATTTATCACGTCTAGGCATGATTTAAATACATTATGATGCTGTGTCCTTTGAATGTCGTCTTAAAACTCAATCGCTTTGTAAATGTCACTTGTAGTTTTAATATCGCAGGAGAGTATTTTAAAGCTCAATATTTTTCAATACCATAAACATGCTGTTTTTTTACCAATCAATTGACTGGCTTCTTTGTGCCACTACATAATGTGTGTAGTTAAATATAAGTTTACAAGCAAGACCGGCGGTTTCGAATCTTACGATTCTCATCAGTTGCTATGTGGTGGGATGGTTGAGGTGAACTCTGAACCATTCCGTATTGCTTGATTTAGTAAGCGTTTATATATCCACCCTGGTTTGTTTGGAGGATCGAAAATGGTGCGGTTTGATTGGTTCCTTGCAAAAAACCAATCAGGTTGCTGTAAGTTCGATCCGTGTTTTCTCAAAGCTAGGTTGTGTTTTTATAAAGGTTTCAATTTGAAAAATAGGAGTCTTGCCTTGCTTTTTTGTAAAGTATAAAAACATCTTGTTAAAATGTTTATGATGTATAAGTGTTCCTCAAAATGGCGAGGGACTATGTTGTATATTTTCGTTTCAATTTAAAGCAAGGCTTGCGTTGACTATACAGTTGTGTACTGTACAGAATGTAGACAAGATTATTTTTTACTGGCACAGCATGGCACCGTATGGCGTGAGTAACTGTAACGGATGACAGACTGCACATGTATAACGACGTGAAACCTTGAGTTAGCCTTTAGTGTTTTGTCATTTGTAAGTTAGAGCTCTGAGTTGTTTTTATAAAAAGGTTGAAATAATAGATTTTGGGACTCTGTCAAACCTTTGATTCAAATATAGAATTTTTCATGAAAACAAACAATTTCTTAGTTCGTTCGAAATGTCTTGTTTCATTTGTTTTCATTTAAAGGTTGACTTTTCTGTACAGTGGGGCCATTTTGAATTCGAAAGGCGGGAATACAAGAAACAGAGGCGAGAGCTCTATTGCGCATGTCTTGCGGTTTTTGCGCTCTGTCTGTCACAATAGCGAGCAATCCTATTATCTCCAGGTTTATGAAAGGAATTTTCAAAATCAACCCGCCTACACCTCGTTACAAGACAACATGGGACCCTCATATTGTTTTGAATTACCTCTCATCCCTTGGTACAGGGGACAAATTGACATTGAAACTACTGTCAATGAAACTGCTTATGCTAACTTCATTGGTCTCAGCTCAAAGAGGACAAAGTCTCCACATGTTGGATATCCGGTTTATGAAGGAATACCTGAGGAGGACTAAGCCTCTAAGAGGAGACAGCACAAAGCTTTTGATAAGCTTTATGAAACCCCACAAGCATATGTCAAAGGAACTCTGTCCCGCTGGATTAAAACTGTGATGGAAGCAGCTGGAATATATACTAGTATTTTCCATCCCCACAGCACAAGGGCAGCTGCCACATCAAAAGCAAAAGAAGCATGTGTACCCATTCAGTAAATCCTGGACACTGCATGCTGGTCATCATCAAAAACATTTGACAGATTTTATAACAAGCCTGCATCTAATGAACTTACGTTTGCTAACTCACTTTTAGAAAAGGATTAGGAGAATCTTTACGGTGAACTATGTTTATTCTGTTATACTTTAAGCTACTTTTGAACCCTTATATTATGGGAGTTATTATCCAGCCATAGGTATTTACACAAGTTGTGTTTTACAAGTTGATAACGGTTACATGGACCCTCTAATAAACCTTTCATTGTTACCTCATGTGATTGCCTTGCTTTAAAATCTCATGGGATTCCCTGTGGCAACCTTGACGAAATACAATTTAAAAATTAAACGAGACTTACCTGGAAGTTGAAGTGTGATTGTAATTCTATTGAGTCACACACTGCCATAGAGGGATCACATGCCCTTCCCATCAACACCATTCAGGTGTTGTCTCACCCTACCCATGTGTTATCTAGGAACTTGCTGTAGCTGTACCCGTATACTATAGGCAATCACATTTCGTGCTTCAAATACTGACGTGCGCATGCGTACTGCAATCTCCTGTGATCCCTCTATGGCAGTGTGTATCTCAATAGAATTACAATCACACTTTAACTTTCAGGTAAGTCTCGTTTAATTTTTAAATTTTGCTGCACTTTTTCGCCATCACACCACGAACTCGACGTTAAATGCCTATTTTCACGTTTTGATGGAGGACGTAAAAAACGACGACGAGTAATTTGCCATTTCTGAACTAAAAACCTGGAAATGACTTCGCCTACATTTGACAAAGTAAGCGAGGTCATTAGAAAAAGGCCAAACATATTTTGTTTTTCTTGATTCTGCAGGTATCTGTGGAAGACCGCGTACTTTACACGGAGTAAGATTACATGGAAACAGTTATCTCGATGGAGACATGGTTACATTTTCCTGTGATAAAAATCTTGATTTGTTTGGAAAAGCCGAACTGCGTTGTGTTCGCCGAACATGGAATTCTCCTGTACCAGAGTGTAAAGGTGAGTGCTCCTTTCAACTGATGCCTTGTAAAAAGCAAACTCAGCCTTACTATAGACATTAATAACAAAACAGTGAAGAGAAAAGCGACTTTAGGTTTCCTGATATTTCTTCAGGGGATTTAATGAACTATCGGAAAGTGGTTATTCAATTCATGCCTAGTCATATCCTTAAGTAAGGGCTCTATTCTATAATTTTGCTGTGTTGTTCTCCCCCTTGCTCTTCTTCAATCACTGATAAAGAATAGTGGTTTCAGATAACTTCTTCAGAGACATAGAAGCAAACAAAAGCAAAATCTGGTTAAAAATGAGCGGCATGCAGACTCATGCATGTTAAGGCATGGCCTGAGGCTAATTTGCTTAAAATCTTATAATGGTCATAACTTTGTGAAAATTTATCAGAACCGTCCAAAATTTGGCAACCTCGGAAAAATCGGTAATCTTAATTTTCCTGTAACGTAATAAATCAGATATTTGTGTCACGTGACCTCTTATGGTCGAGTCCAGGAAAGAAAAGAAAACTAAAAATGGGGTGGGGAGATGCCACACAGTATATATTAAATACAGTATTTTTGGTATTGTATCATCATTTCTCACTTGAATCTGGCCGGAATGGTTGATTCACGTTTTTTATTTAATAAGTAATTAAGCAAAATAGGACACGTTACACTTTTCACCTGTTAATATTATTTTAAGAAATTAAAATTCTCTCCTACCCCATTTTGAATATCATTATGACGTCACGTTTCACGTGACTACATCACTTCAACCCTAATTAATTCAACGCCTCGAAAGAAAGTTTCTCGAAAGTTTGTTGCAAATTTTAGAATTAAAATGCATGGTCATAGAAGAAAAACAGCTTTATCTTCGCGGGGGGTCGAGACCATAAATTGAACCATGCCTCAAAATGCTTGAGGACCAGAATTGTGAGGATTTGCAGTTGATTATAAAAGCATTTTATCCAATTTTATTTCCTTATAAATGCCAGCTCAGGATTATCGCTGTTTTTCGCATAAATTAAAAAAACACTGTTCCTTTCTGTAGCCCGCTGCACGTGGAGCGGGTACTTAATTAGAGAACTAAAAATATGGATCTGGGCTCACTTATAGAAATCACTTATGCAAATAACAACCGAAGAATCGATTTAAGGGACGGAGTTCGGTGGAATTGGAAAAAAAAGTGCAGTATTTGAAAGCTGTTTACAAAATCGGGATTAAGGCAAAACGTACGCACTCAAAGTATTTCTGTGGAAATCGGCTCAGTATTTTAGATCAAATTTGCCACTTTCATGAACTGGAGGTCGCTCTTGAGTTTAGAGAAGACCGCTACAGGTCCAGATCAGCTTCCTTTCTGGATATGGAAGGACCATGCCGAAATTCTTACTCCAGTAGTAACAAAACTGTAGAACCTGTCCGTTGACATGGCCGAGTTCGTGGAAGAGTGCCAACATAAACCCTCTTCACAAGGTCGAAATTCCCAAGGACAATGCCGACTTTAGAGGAATAAATATAACTCCGGTTATTGCAAGAGCATTCGGAAAGGTTGTTTATAAGTCGTAAGATAAGAACATTATCGAGAGCAGCTTTTTTTATAAGCTCCACACAGTTTGCTTAGAGGAAAGGTGGCAGCTGTACTGACGCTCTGTTAACTATGCAACATCACATTTTTTTCATCAAAAGGGATGCAATGCAGTAAGGGCGTTTGCAATGGACTTATAGTACGTATAGTAAGGCCTTTGACACTGTTAAACAAGATCTGTTATTTTACAAACTTAAACTCCCACCGCTTTACGTGTATCAAGTTTTAAATTGGTATTTAAGCTTTCTCACTAATAGTGGGGTTAAGGCACCACGCAAGGAAGCGTTACGGTTCCTATTTATTTAATATGTTTATACACGATCTGCAAGCAGATCCTGAGTCCGACTCCGCCTGGTTCAACGGTATGCAGATGATTCCACTCTAATTATCCCTGTTTGGAAAGAAAGTCATACAGTCGAGCCTCTCGGTACGGACACATCTTTATTAGGGGCAGTTTCAGTGAGATAAAGACTATTCCTTCCTTCCTTCCTTCCTTCCTTACTTACTTACTTACTTGATGAAACTACTCACTATAGAAGTGTATTGACAAGCTGTATTCTCTTACGTTAGGCAGATGTACTTTCGATGGAACTCCACTAAATGGCAAGACACTCAACAAATTTTTAGTCAAAGGGGCTACCCTTCAACATAACAGCATTGTGGAGTACTCTTGTGACTCATCTTATAAATTGACTGGATCGAAAGTTCTGCGCTGCAAAGATGGGCGATGGAATGCAACCACTCCTTCCTGCAAAGGTATCTTATTATTTATGACCAACCCAAAGAACAAGAGAATGTTACATTTCGAATCGTTGAAAGAGGAATAAATTTAAGTATCTGGTATGTTTCATTTCCATTTTTCATATTTTCCCAGTTTTTTACTGTTTTAGATTATGACTGCTATCAGTAATTATACTACCGCCTTTCCTGAGCATATGATTACGTATCACCATTGATTTAACAAACCTCTTCTTTTTTAGCCTCATGTGGCAATCCCAGGCTCATAGATCGTGGAGGAAGAACTGGAACGGACTTCTCTCATGGTCAGATAGTTACATATCATTGTATGCAGGGATACAGTTTAGAAGGCTCTCAAAAACTGACGTGTGTCAATGGTCGTTGGGATTTTGCTCCACCGCAATGCAAAGGTGACTGTTAATTCCATTTCCCAAACAACGTCTGTGGTGTATACGACCTATTTACAGCAACAGACATTTTTTCCTATTAAAACTCATCTTTAGCCGTTGATGTCTTATAGTGTTATACTTTTAATTCATACACAAAAAGAAATTTGATGGTTTCCTCGTGATGCAAAATCTGTTGTGCTGTGTTAATACGCTGTTACAGGTTATTGATAACAGTTTTTTTTTTCTTCATTAGCATCTTGTGTTCCCTTGCAAGCACCCCGTGATGGGAAAATTCAAAATAATGATATCAAACATGGTGCTTTAGTCTCATTTTCCTGCATTGACGGTTTTCAAACGAATGGCTCAAGAATCCTCAAGTGCATCAATGGAAAATGGAATGGCAGCGCTCCCACGTGCAAAGGTTTGAGAACTTTTCCTCCTTCTTTCGTTTTTATCCCCCTCATCTGATTGGTTTGTACCATTTCTTCTTCTTCTTCTTTTTTTCTTGTTAGCAACAAGCTCATCAAATAATCTTACTACTTATAATTTCAAAATTATGTTTATCTATGGATTCTATTTTTACGACGACCACGAGGTGTTGTGGGTTAAGTTGCGCCCTAAACGCCTTCCGAGAGGTTTCTCGTCCTTGATTGCTGGGGTTGTGTACCACCCTCATTGGACTGCAACCGAGAATGACTGCATGCGTGATCATCTGTTTCAATCACTCCTTCTCGCCGAATCCCCCTTCCCAAACTGCGCTTTGATTGTTGGTGGGGATTTTAATCGGCTGGATGTAAAATCGATTCAAAGGCATTTTCGGTTGAGACAGATTGTTAAAAAGCCAACCCGGAAAAATGCGATCTTGTTGGACTTAGTGTTAACTAACATGCATGTTTTGTGTGCTGATCCTCAACACTTCCCACCCTTTGGACTCTCCGATCACCACACTGTCACCGTGGAGGCTAAAGAAAGAGCAGAGTCCCGTCAAGCTCCAAAATTTGTACTAAATTTGTATCATTTGTACTGGCGAGCCGAGCTAGGACGGTACTTTGGTACTATGGATTGGCAAACACTGTTTTCCTCTGCTAACTGCTGCCAGGATATGCTTGACATACTTCATAATGTCATCCATACCGGTCTTAACATCCTTATGCCTGTTAGAAGAGTTCGTGTTAACACGTCTGACGTCCCATGGATGACGCCCCACCTTAAGTCGCTGATTCTAAAGCGACAGAGGGCGTTCCGTGAACACGGTGCGGAATCATCTAGTTTCAAGTTCCATAGGAACTTAGTAAATCGTGAAAGAAAATCATGCAAAGCCTCCTTGTATAAGGTGAAAGTGGAACACATGAAGGATGAAAATCCAAAGCTGTGGTGGAAGGAGGTTAAACGTCTAAGTGGATCCCAATCCAAAGTAGTTATGGAAACGGGTATTGCGGCGCACTTTTTAAGTCCAATTAATCAGAAAATGACGGAAGTTAATCAGAAAATGAAAAGTAATTTTTACACGAAAATCCCCCCATATGCAACAAATTATCAAAAAGAATATCTTTACATAAGAGGATTAGATAAAATTGAAATTTAAAAAGTTTACGTCTTCTAATATAATCACTTATTAGAAGACGTCATGTCTAACCAGTCAGTTGATGGTTTTCAGGGTTCTCAACCCTTTATATCAGATAATGAATACAAGAGTTTATCTTTGGATCAATTAAGATATATATTAAACCAGAAGAAAAAAACAATAAAAGATAGTTATAAGGAATTAAGTGAAAAAGAAAAAATAATTCGAGATATAAGAAAACTAGATAAACTTAATGAAAAAGTAAAACAAGGAATAGATATAAAGAAGAAATATAAGAAAAAGAAAGCTACCACCAAAACGGCAGCTCCCTCTAAAAAGAAAAAAATAAAAACATTTGATGAGTATTTTGAGGAATGTATAAAAAATAAAAAGATTCCCAAAGATACTCCAAGTTATTTACGAGAAGCTCTTGAACGCGCTATGCGAGAATATGACCAAGGTCTTGTAAAAGAAAAATCATCTCTTGAAGGTTTTGCAAATAAGTACACGATTGAAGGAATTTTTGGTTTTGATCCAATACAGTTTTTTCAACATTTAAATGAAACTTTAGTTGATTTTTTTACTTATCATAGAAATATAAAATTTAGGTTACTTTTAGTTTGCATGATGGAAAAACAAGAAACAAATAAAACTACTGGTATTTTTAACATAGAAGAAGGAAAGGCTTATTTTAATTCACCTACTTTTACTAATTTAAAATCAGATGATGTTGAAGAATTAATTTATCGAAGTAGAGAATCTATTTTAGGCCAAATGGAAATGTATGCAGAAAAAGGAAGTAATTGGACTTTTAAGGAGGTGGTAAAACTAGAAATTCATACCACTGAATTTAATCCAACAAAGGGCTCATCTTACATTGATCTTCCAGATTGGATAAAAAATAAAAAAGCAATTGTTAATATTAAAAATAAAGATGACAAATGCTTTCTTTGGTGTATACTTAGATATCTTCATCCAAAAGAAAGAGATGAAGAAAGAATAAATGATTTAAAGAAGTATGAGTTTTCACTTAACACAAAAGGTATTACTTTTCCAATGAGTGTAAATAATATCACCCAATTTGAGAAGCTTAATCCAGAACTTCCAGGAATAAATGTTTTTTCTGAAGATGATAAAAATGATATTTATCCTTTGAGAGATGCAAAGAGAGATTGTAAAAATACTATTGATTTATTTTTGTATGAAGAAGATGGTGTCTCACATTATACTCTAATTAAAAATTTTCATAGGTTAATAAGGTCTCAAAAAACTAAAAGTAAGGATGGTAAAATATTTATTTGTAAGAGATGTTTTAGTCATTACACTAAAGAAGAATTACTAGAAAAACATATTAAATATTGTTCTAACAATCAAACAGCACTTATAAATATGCCCAAACCAAATACATATTTATATTTCAAAAATTATTATAAACAACTTCCTATTCCTTTTGTAGTTTATGCAGATTTTGAATGTTTTACTAAACCAATGAGTACCTGTAGTCCTAATCCAAAAGAATCTTATAATTACAACTATCAAAAACACGAGCCATCGGGATTTTGTTTTTATATCAAAGGTATTGTTGGTCAATTTAAACCAATAATTTATACAAAAACATCTGAAGATGAAGATATAGCAAAAGTATTTGTGAAAAAAATTGCAGAAGTAACTAAAGGTATTTATAACGATTTTTATCGAAGAGCAAAACCTCTTAGACTAACTAGAGCAGAACAAAAATCATTTGATGAAGCAGAAACTTGTCATATTTGTAACAAAGAATTAAGAGAGGATAAAGTTAGAGATCATTGTCATTTTACAGGTCAGTATCGTGGAGCAGCACGTAACAGTTGTAATTTGCAGTGTAAAAAACCAAAAATATTACCAGTTATATTTCACAATCTTCAGGGATATGATGCTCATTTGTTTATAAAGCAACTTGCTAGATTAGAGGGTGATTTAAATTGTATTCCATCTACAGAAGAAAAATATATTTCCTTTTCAAAAAGTATTAAAGTTGGTGAGTATTATTGCTTAAAACTTGGAAAAATGTGCCCAGTAAATTTTGAAATACGATTTTTAGATTCATTTAAGTTTCTTCAAACATCACTTGCCAATCTTGTTTCAAATTTATCCCCAGATGACTTTAATAATACAAAACAAGTATTTAAGAGAAATACAGAACTACTGACTCGTAAGGGAGTTTATCCTTATGACTACGTTTCATCACTTGAAAAACTATCCGAAACACAATTACCTCCTAAAGAGGAATTTTACTCCCGTCTTAATGATGAAGAAATTACGGATGATGATTACCAACATGCTATTAATGTTTGGAATACTTTTAAATGTAAAACAATAAGAGATTATCACAATCTTTATTTAAAGTCTGATGTACTACTTCTAGCAGATGTATTTGAAAACTTTATTAACTCTCTACGAATGTAAATAGATAAAACTACAACAATCAAGTCTGGGGTAAACAGGGAAGGGCTCCGAAGTGAACCCTTCCATTTAATAACATTTGCCCAACTGAGACGGTCAAGATACAGCAAATGTACAAAACAGGAATACATGGAAAACGTGACAACAACAACAACAAAAAAAAAAGAAAACTAAAAAGGGGGGAAGGGAGGGCAGCGAAGTAACGATCTGTAAAAGCACATGGCGAAAGAACTGCGTAGAGCGCATGACAAAGAAATAAACTAGTGCCAGTCCTCCCCCCCCCTTCGGCTAGAGTTAAATACAAATACATGCAATTATTTTAGACTTAACTCTCTACGAATGTAAATAGATAAAACTACAACAATCAAGTCTGGGGTAAACAGGGAAGGGCTCCGAAGTGAACCCTTCCATTTGCCCAAGGGAGGCACGACCTAACCCCAGACAAAAGTCTCCATGAGGGAAAAAAAAAAAAAAATCTAAACAAACGAAGCGAGACGCTTAACTGCTAACATTCTGTCTTTAACTGGGATGTGGATATAAGACCTATAAGCATCTGACTGCCAGTCTCCTAAACGCTTAATCAGTTCTGCAGGGATTTGAGCTTGAAAAGCCAGAGTAGTCCCGCCCGAGCGAAAACTATGTCCACTAACTTGAGACGGGTCCAAGTTCGTCTTGGCTGCTACTAGTTTTAGAAGGCAGTCAAACTTTCCATAAGTCAGAGGAGTCAGGCCCCCCTCCGTGGATGCTGGGATGATAAAGGCTGGGCCCGATAAAGGTGCTGGTACCAAGCCAAAGGCATGTCTGAGAGCGGAATAAGGGCAGAGTGGATGTGGAGCAATGCGAGGTAACGGAACAGTTAAAATGCGCTGACTAAATTGGATGGTCTTCGACCATCGATTGATAATCATGGCCCAGTCATTGAAGAAGAGGATATCTCCTCGACGCAGGTGTTTGGATGGGTCAAACTTTGTTGATCCTTTGGATAGCAAATTCGCCTTACGAAGGAGGCCAAAGAACGCTACGAGGCAAACTGCCCAGAAGGTTGCATGTAAAGGGCTGTCCAAATGCAAATGACTCTTGAAGGCTAATAGGATCTGGGGTGTAATCGGCTTCTTTTGGGACACTGTTAACCTTTTACACGCTTGATTCCTCGAAGTGTAGATGCCAATTGAAAATTGTTTTTGGTTGGGTCAGACAGACCATGTTCAAGGTGTAGAATGCGAATCGCATTTAAATAGGCTGGGATGGAGGATGCTGAGAGTGACCTTGCTAGAAAAGCTGCATAGCGATTAAGGGTTAATGTTGCTGCTGGGAGAGGTTGGTAGCCGTAGTATACACAAAAGGAGAGGTATGAACGCATTTGACTCATGTAGGTGGACTTGGTAGTAGGTGCATATGATTGACGCCGGAAATTGGTGACTTCACGGTCAAGTTGCTGCTGATCCCTTGGATCTAAGGAGAGCAAGAGACAATGGCGACATGTGAGATTCGAAGTCATTTGATCTAGAGGATTTGGAGAGCCATGCTTGGAACGTTGGCCAGTAGTGCACATCATTAAGGCGTGAAATACTATCTGCTAGAGTGTTGGTTGCTCCTGGAATGTGCTTGACGAACAAACTGAAGTTGTAATACTCCTTAAGCCAAAACAGAGAACGAATCCAGTCCATGATCACCAGGCAACAGGTTGAGCCTTTGTTCAGAATGGCTGCAGCCACCTGACTGTCTGTTTTGACGACTACTCGATGACCTGACCAGAAAGGTGCCCAACGGTGTGCAGCTAAAACAATGGTAAATGTCTCCTTGTAATTGATATGGAGAGAGCATAGAGATGGGTAGTCCAAGGCCCAGTTGACGTACATCCAGTCTGGTGCCCATAGGCACCCCCCGCCAGACAGGGAGGCATCAGTAAGCACTGCTGCAGGAAGTTCAGGGATGGCTGAGGGGAATAAAGTTTTACAGTTGTGTGCAGGCAGGAGGCGGGTCCACCACATGAGGTCAGCTCTCGCATTTAGGTTAAGATAGACGCGATGGTGCGGACGTTTAACCGAGTTTGCCAAGGTGATAAGTCGTCTGAGAAATGTGCGGCCCCCTCGAACAACACGTGCTGCCCAATTAAGCTTGCCAAGGAGTCGTTGGAGGTGAAGCTTGGTACATTTGCTTTTATAGCTTGTTTCCTTGAGAAGGGATAACAACTCTGACACACGATCGTCTGAGAGGCGGAGTTCACACTGAACAGTGTCGATTTCAACTCCAAGAAAAATCAGGCACTGGGTAGGGTAGACAACTTTGCTCCAGTTGATAGTGAAGCCAAGAGACTCTAGCAAGTTGAACAGGGTGTCAAAAGCTACTTTGCACTGAAGTTGGGTTGGTTCGATGATAAGGAAGTCATCAAGATATGCCAGCACAGTATACCCTCTCCGGGCCATCATACGACAGATCCCTTGTGTGAGGCGGTGAAAAACCATTGGTGAGGCCCTGGCTCCAAATGGTAGACGCTTATCATAGAGGTAGGTGGGGTGTTTTGAGTCGTTGAAGCGCCACGACATTCCTGTAACTTGCCAGCTATCGGGGTGTGTTCCAACGCTTCTGTAGGCATGTTTTAAGTCAACTTTTGCCAACCAACAACCAGGTTGACAGAGATTTGCTGCATCATCAACGGTAACATACTTGTAGTGTTCTAAATCCATATATGAGTTAGCATTCATCGATAATTGGCATGTTGGTCTTGACTGCGATAGCAAAGTGGTCTTGTCGGAGACCTTTGATTAATTGCGCTTCAATTTGATCTTTAGCTCCAGGTCGCAGAGCAGACTTATTGTTTTGTGTAAAAGCATGTGAAACCATTAAATCAGGCGAGAGGAGCTGAAATCCATTTTTAACACCATCCAAGATAAATTCCAAGTCCGGGTCATTGGTTAGCTCTGTTGCCCAGGTCTCAAAAACTAAGTCTGTGGAGACCTGGGCTGCTTGGGGCTGCTGCTTAAATTCTGAAAAGGGCCCTGCATGAATGGGTAAACTTTCCCCACACTCTGCGGGAAGTGGTGTCCTTAAGACGGGATTAGTCCCTGCGTTTAACAATGTGGTCGAGACATCTCCTGCTAGTTCTGTAGTCAAAATACTATTTGGAGGGAGCTCTGCAGTTGAGTGTGGGTTCAGTATTGGGGGTCTTGAGCAGTAGCAGACTGGTGCTGCCATTGTGGGTGGGTTCCCAAGCACTGAGGTTTGATGCAAACATGATCATATTTACATGAAGAGGCAAAGCGGCACCCTTCACGCCGTTGGTAATCATAGCAAACTTGCTTTCCTGTTGCTGGGTTTAGGACTGGGCGGGACGTTTTGCGAGGAGATAGCCGCGGCGGTGTGGGAGTTGGATCTGGTCTGTGGAGAGTTTGGTGGGAGATGAACTGGCTGTCAGTACCCCATTTACAGTTTGTCGAAAACTGCATTCTGCGGTACAAATCATCATATTGCATCACTTTCGGTAAGGGGTAACACTTGGCTAGCTCAGATATCTTTGAACTGTACATAATGTAATGAAGGATGTCTTGGGTGGACGATAGAGACCCATCTGACATGAGAGTATGCATAATACGAAAGTTAGCCGCTGACCATTGTGGGAATGAGATTTTGTCAAGAGGCAGGTTCTTTTATCAAAGACTCAACCTGACTCAGTTCGCGTTTGACTGCTTCGCTCATCTGTTGAGGTGTTGCCGATTCTGCCGCCAGGTCATCCGTGACGAAATCTTGTAGTTTTTTCGGAGGTTTTGTGCTCCTGCTGCTCTTTCTAGTCGCCATAGTGTAAACATCGGCAACAATGCACCATAAGAAAACGATTCAGGAAAAATAAACGTGAGTTCAGCGAAGTAACGATCTGTAAAAGCACACGGCGAAAGAACTGCGTAGAGCGCATGACAAAGTAATAAACTAGTGCCAGTCCTCCCCCCCCCCTTCGGCTAGAGTTAAATACAAATAAATGCAATTATTTTAGACGAAAAACTTGTCTCAAACATTACAAATTAGATCCAGCTCATTATTACACATCCCCTGGTTTAGCTTGGGATGCATGTCTAAAAGAAACAGGTCAACAACTACAGTTTCTACATGATTATGATATGTTAATGATGTTTGAGCGTGGTATTCGTGGTGGAATAACTCATATATCAAAAAGATATGCAGAAGCAAATAACAAATATATGAAAAATTATAATCCTAATAAGGAGTCTAGTTATATTCAATATCTAGATGCAAACAATCTTTACGGTTGGGCAATGTCTCAAAATCTTCCTACACATGGATTTAAATGGATGAGGAATTTAATAAAAGAAAAGGTAATGGAAATTCTAGAGAAAGCAAATCATAGTATGTCAAATCTTGGGAGAAAAGGATATATATTTGAAGTTGATTTGGAGTATCCTCCCCACCTATGGGAAACACATAATGACTATCCCTTAGCACCTGAGAAGATGATTGTTAATGGTGTTGAAAAACTAATTTGTCATTTCAAACCCCGAAAAAACTATGTTGTTCACTATCGAAATCTTAGACAATACCTTGAAATGGGTATGAGAATAACTGCTGTTCATAGAGGAATATCATTTTATCAAAGTTCTTGGATGGAACCATATATAAGAAAGAATACAGAACTTCGAAAAACAGCAGCCAACAATTTTGAGAAAGACTTTTTCAAACTAATGAATAATAGCGTTTTTGGTAAAACAATAGAAAACATAAGGAAAAGGCAAAATATAGAACTTGTTGATAATCGTAAGAAAGCTGTCAAACTAACAAGTAGACCAAACTTTGATAGAGCAACAATATTTGATAAAAATCTTATTGCAGTCTATATGAAAAAGACTGAAGTGTATTTCAATAAACCAGTATATGTTGGTCAAGCAATTTTAGATTTATCAAAAACATTAATGTTTGATTTTCACTATAACTACATCAAAAAGAAATATGGAAACAAAGCTGAGTTATTGTTTACAGACACGGACAGCCTAATGTTTCAGATTTACACAGATGATTTTTACAAAGATATATCCCATGACATACTAACTAAGTTTGACACTTATGATTATCCTCCTAATCATCCATCTGGAATACTAACAGGAGTTAACAAAAAAGTGATAGGGATGTTTAAAGATGAAGTAGCAGGAAAACAAATAACTTGTTTTGTTGGATTGAGACCCAAACTTTATAGTTTTAAAATTGAAGAAGATAAAGAAGTTCGTAAATGTAAAGGAATAAAGAAAAATGTTATAAAAAAGAAATTAGATTTTGATGACTATGTTAAATGTTTATTCACAGGAAGAAAAGAAATGAGAAAGATGAAAATTATAAGAAGTGAAAAACATGATATATATTCAAAAGAGGTCAACAAAGTAGCACTAAGTAATGAAGATGATAAACGCGAATCACTCTTGGGAAAGGTAAAAACTTTAGCTTTAAGGTAATAAAGTAAAAATAATAAATGCCATATTCAGAAGAAGAAATAAAAAAATATTTAGAAATATTGAATAATTATACTAGTAAACCTGAAGAGAAAGATAATATAAAATCTAAATGTAGTAATTGCCAAAATAGTGAATTTTTTACAATTGATTCTGGATACAAAATTTGTGATGAATGTGGAGTAGCAAACGGTCATGTATTAGGATTTTACGATGTGAAAGATTATGATAGATTATACTATCGAAAAAAGAGTATTTATCATAGAAAGTATCATTATGAGAAAAAGATTAATCAAATTTCTAAAATCATAAACCTAACAGATGAACAAAAATGTGAACTTTATGATAAACTAATGAAAATAGATAATTACGTAATGGAAATGCTAAACAAACAATACTTTAGAAAGAGAATGATAAATATTAATTATTTAACCAAAAAGCTTTTGGAGGAGATGGGGTGTGAAAAGTATAAACTTATTGTACTTAAAATTAGTCCTCAAACTTTAGATATCTATGAAAAGTGGTGGAATAGTTATAAAGAATTGAAAAAATAATTTTATATTAAAAAATATAAAATTTAATCTTCCAAATAAGTATAGTCACTATCAAATAATTTAAAGATATTCAAAAATGCTTTAGTTTTAAAAAATAAATCTTCATTTATTTCCACATTAAGATCTAAATCATTAAGAGCTTTAAATATTAAATTAGTATCAAGTCTTTCATTTTCAATTTCATCTTTTATAATTTTTAATTCCTTTTCATGTTTACTTTTATCAAAATCTTCATATTTTATACTCGATGAATTTTCTTTTTGTACTATAGTATAGTTAACACTTTCAAATTTAAATAAAACAAGATCTTTTTCTAATCTTTGTTTTTCGAATTTCATTTCTTCAAAATTAGAGAGTATATACTCATCATTTAAAAATTTATAAACTTCTTTCATTAATTTTCTTCCAAGTCGTTCAACATCTTTTTTTCTAATAATAACAGCTGCCATTTTAACTTATGATTATATTAAATTTAAAGATTAGAAATAAATAATAAAATGGATTTTACTCCTAGACAAATTTATGTAATAATATTTCAAAAAGAATATTATCCTTGTAATAGATTTGAAATAGGAAATAATATTAATAAAAAAGTATATATTTGTCACAGTGATAAACGATTAAAAGACTTTTTAGTATCTTGTAAAGAAGATAAATCTAATCTAGTATATGAATATTTTAATACTTATCCATCTCATCGAATAATAGTACATGGAAATTTTTATGATATGACTTATAGATATTATTATAAAGAATCAAAAGTAGATGATAATAGATATAATATTAATTCTGAAGAAATGGATAAAAAAGTAAAAGAAGTAGCTAGAAGATATTTAAATGATGGTTATGGATCAATTAATTTACAAAGTTTAATTGGAAAATAATTTTATATTATTTTTAATATAAAATATTTATTCTAATCCTTTATGAAAAATCCAGTAACATATTCCAGTTAGATAACCGAGTACTTCACTATTTATCGGAGAATCAAATGCATATACACATCCTCGCCCAAGTTTGTAGTGTTTCTGAAAAGATTTAAAAGCTCTGTAAAACATTAAGTGATTGTTTAGAACAGGATTACTAGATTTAATAGATCTATTTTCTAATTTATAAATTATTGTTTCTATATCCATAGTTTTCTTAAAAGTAGTTTCATATAAGAATCTGTAAATCAGTGATGTCCTTATAAGATTTTCAGAGTAGGGAAGATTTTTACGAGTTGGGTAGTAAAAGTTAACATAATGAACTATTGTGTTTAACATTTTATTAATAAATATATTATCTTTAAATTGAGGTTTAAAAATTTAATAATAAGTAATTAAAATGCGTATAGAAATCAATCCTAGTCCATTATTAAATCTACAAAACATATGTGAAGTCTTATACAAACTTCATCCATTTGTTTTAGATAAATTAGTTGAAATACAAATATCTTTGCGAGATGTACTAAATGCTAAAGAAGTAGATTTTTCAAAAGAACCTAAGAAACCTGAGGAACCAAAGTTACCAAAAACACAAGAAGAATTTAATAAAATGATAGAATCTAAAGGAGTTAAAGTTACTAATATAAAATTTGATAATAAAAATGAAGCTATCAATTTTTTAGAAAGATTTAAGGAAACAAATGAAAAAAGTAAACTATTAAGAACAATCCGGGAGATGAAAGAGAATGAAAATTCTTGTCTTTTTTCCGAGCTAAGAAAATATATTCAACTAGATACTTATGAATATATTCCTATAAAAATTTATATGGAAGTTGAAGATCTAGTAGTTGGAAGAAAATTAAAAGAATTGGTTAAGGCACTTGAAAAAACTAGAGCACCGGAACAGTTTTATTTAAATAAAAAAGAAATGGATGAAGATGCTTTTTTTGCTGAAGGTTATGGTCTTACAATGAATAAGGAACAGAAAAAAAAATTAGATGATTTTTTAGAGAAAGGAGATGTTGGTGAACTTAAAAAACTTTTAAGAGAAAAAAAGTTGTATATTTAAATTAATATTTAAAAATATAATTATAATTGTATAAGGGATGTCTATAGAAAAAACTGTCTCAAAAGAAATAGAAAAATGGATTAAATTTGAACGTAAATTATTTATTATAAAAGATATTATATCTCTTTCATATCGTGATATTTCTTTAGGTGATTATGAAGATAAAAAAAAGACTTTTATTAGATTACATTATTTAAAAATGGAATTACACTATATCTACCTTAAAATTTATAACTATAACATAAAAAAGCTATCATCTAATGATAAACTATTAAATTATTTTGAATCTATTTTAAAACAAAAAGGATTTAATCTAGAATTGTAGTAAATTATTTTTGTATTTATTCTTAATATAAAAATATGGAAAAGGATTTAAAAATCATTTGTGAAGACCTAAAGGTAGGATATGAAATGTATCCACTTTATTGTAAAGTAAATAATATAGGAAAGAAAAATATAATAGTTGATTACACAAAAATAGACAATGTAGATGTTTTGATTAAACTAAGAAACTTCTACAAAAAATATAACTTTGAGGAGGAGTTAGAAGAAATAAAATATCACTTGGATGCCAAACTAGTAGAGTATAAAAATTATGTAAAATATTGTCGTAGTTTGAAACCTAAGCCATTAGAGCCTAAATATTATTCTCATGTAACAGATTCTATAAACAAAATAAAATAAAATTTTATTTAAAGATTAAAAAGAAATTATATAATGTCTAATGTGCTGGAAAAAGCTTTTAAAAATGAAGAATTAGGAATTGAGATAACTTCATTTATTGATAAAAAAAACTAAGGATTTGGTTCAAAGCTAAAGAGGTAGCTCAAATTCTTGGTTATAAAAACACAGAACATGCTATAAAGAGACATGTCAGTGAAAATCATAAAAGAAAAATTCTTTTGAGCTGCCCGCCTGAAACGGGCGGTCAGGTCCAAGGCAGATGGATTATATTTGTTGATGAACCCGGTTTCTATGAACTTGTTTTTAGATCTAGATTACCAAGTGCAAGAATATTTCGCGAATGGGTCTTTACTAAAGTTCTTCCTTCAATTCGCAAATATGGATACTATAGAATGATTGATTCAAGAATAAAACAAAGAGTAATAATAAATGGAAAAAAATATTATAAACACCCAGTGTTTTCTAATTATGCCGCAAATAAAAATGGAAAAGTAATAAATGTAAAAACTGGAAGAATTATTAGAATGAGTAAATGTGGTAATGGTTATTTGAAATTTAACATTTATAATGAAAAACTTGAAAAACCTTATACATATTCTCATCATAGATTTGTATATGAGGTTTTTAGAGGACCAATTCCAAAATGTTTAGAAACGGATCATATAAATGGGGTTAAAACTGACAACAGAATAAAAAACTTACAATTACTTACTCCTAAACAAAACTTACAAAAATCAGTAAGTAAACCAATTATTTCTATAAATATTGAAACAGGAGAGAAAAGAAGATTTGATTCTATTAAAAAAGCTTCAATTGAATTAGTTATTGATTCTTCTTCTATTTCAAAAATTTGTAGAAAAAAACGTAAAACAACAACTAATAAAGATGGAAAAAAATATACATTCAAGTTTTTAGATTAGTTTCAATATTATTTTAATATTGAAACCAGGATTTTATAAACTTTTTTTTTAGATCAAAATTAGAAACTGCTAAAATATTTAGTAAGTGGGTATTTATTAATTTTTAAACCATTTTATTTCTTAATTCAAAATCTAAGATATCCTTGATATGATTATAGATTGTCTTATTATCTAAATACTTTATACATATATCAACCAGCTTTGAATCATAAACTTCTCTTTTTTTACTTCTTACAAAGTAACATTATAACATAGCTAGAAAATTCGCCTAATCAAATTCAATAGCGCGAGCGTGCTTCATATTCCTATTGAGCACGCTGATGACGTCAATAAACTATTCGTAATTCCTCGAGTTGTTGTGAGCTTAGCAATCCTGAGTCTCCTGAGTGCATCCATAACTCAGCAATAGACAATGAAGCGTTTACCATGTGTTTTGTAAAGAAATTTAAGAGGAAAGGTTTGAATTTGTTAACCGATAGTAAGGAAAAGAGGTGAGTGTTGTTGTTGTTGTTGTCATCTCCGCGAGCTGTGCGGGCTATGGCGTGAGCTCATTCTTTGCAAAGTTGTTTTCTCTCAATAACAATTTTTCGGTAAATTAATAGTTTTCCGGCACCTAAATATGGATTTTACAATCATTTTAGAGTACACTTTCTCTCAGTTTCAGGATAAAAACATAAGATTAACTGTGAGGAAAAAAGATATATTCACGTAAACATTGACGCGTACTGCTTTGAGCGCGCCCTTCAATAATAAAATTTTCAGTTAACTGCTGCATTGATCGCTTTGATAATGTTATAAAACAATTAGTTCATGCTGCAGCTGTGCGTATGTCGAGATATTGAGCACTTGG